ACCGCTGAAGATACCTAAGCTACGATAAAACAACAGTTCAGTGCTACCTGGTTTCTAACGATACTCTTGAGAAAAATCCATGACGAATACAACCTAAAAATTTATAAACTGTCAAACAGTCTAGTAATTAGTGTTTGGTGAGTTTAGAAATTACCACTGTGTTAGTTATATCTAAACAAAAATGGCCTATTTGGAGTTCAAAAATATTCCTAGTTGATTCTAACTAATTATGATTCTCGACTACGTATGTTTATGCGATTTCATAGATAGATTGTTAATGTAATTCCTGATAAACTAACATGACGACGACAACGATTCATATTTTTCTCTCCTCAATCTTTTGGATGAGAATAAGGGGGGATTACTGTAAAATCCACACAACAGATTAATTCAACAACGAGAAGAGATGATGTTAGATTACGACAGTCTGTAAACTATGATACAAGAATATAAGAATATCGACTGGTTATTTGTTTAAAGACATTTTGTATATACCTTTTTTTTCTCCCCACAATAGGACGAAACGGCCGTCCAGTGCTTCCAGGTTTTAGAATGGTGGTCTAGCCTCAACAGATTCATGATGTCAACTGTAAAATTATTATAGTATCCAAAAAACCTTCTGATATTAATCAACATGTGCTCACTAGTGACTGGCTTCAAGAGGTATTTCCTGAAGTTCTAGTGAGAAGCAGTGACCAGTGGAGTTCAACCAGGTCCGTTGTGGGATAGTAACTCACTGAAGACATTGGTGGATGTGTCCGTCAACTTCTTGGATTCGTTGAAGTTAGACATTAACACCGTTGGATGTCTGGCTCAGTGGTCTAGAGGTTAAGCGCTCACGCGCGAGACTGATAGGTCCTGGGTTCGAATCTCGTGAGGTGGGATTATGGATGCGTACTGTTGAGGAGTCCCCCAGTAGGACAAAACGGCCATCCAGTGCTTACAGGTTTTAAATGGTGGTCTAGCTTCAATTGACTAATGATTTCAACTTTGAAAAATACTGAAATCTCCAGAAATCCCCTTCTAAACAAAAACTGCATTAATTTGTCATACACACGGTATGAAAGTGTAATTTCCCCAATATAAATAATTTTTTTAATTATTTGCCACATATATTATGTAGATATATATTTACACACACACACACACACACACACACAAATAACCCTTCTCTTAATCCGTTAATATTAAACATAATAATAATATAGATTGGAAATAAATATTTTGTTTACATAAAGGTGACTAATCTACCCTTACTGATATGTGTACATATACTTATAAACAAAACAGTAGGATAACAAATATTGATTGATTAATGTAGAAAAGAAAAAATATTGGAAGTATTTTTTGAAATCAATCAGTTGGATATTGAAAATAATAAACATTATCATTTTCAGAATGGGTTTTGTGGAGATTTCAGTATTTTTCATAACTGAAATCATGAGTCAATTGAAGCTAGACCACCATGGAAAACCTGGAAGCACTGGATGGCTGTTTCATCCCATTGTGGAACTCCTCAACAGTGCGCATTCACGATCTCGCCTGCGAGATCCCAACCCAGAACCTGTTGGTCTCACGTGAGAATGCTTAACATGTAGACCACTGAGCCGGCCGGCATCTAACGATGTTAATGTCTAATTTCAACCGATTCACGAAATCGAGCGACACATTCATTAATTTCTTCAGTGAGTTACTATCTCATAACAGATCCGGTTGAACTCCACTGGTCACTGTTTCTCATTAGAACTCCAGGAAATACCTCAGGGAGCCAGTCACTAGTGAGCATATGTTAACTGATATCAGAAGGGGTTTTATCGATATTATAGTAATTTTGACAGTTGAGATCATGAATCAATTGGAGCTAGATCACCATTGAAATCCTGGAAGCACTGGACGGCTGTTTCGTTTTATTGTGGGGCTCCTTTGCAGTGCGCATCTACGATGCACGAACGCGCGCGAGACTGATAGGTCCTGGCTTCGAATCTCGCGAGGCGGGATCGTGGATAAGCACTGCTGAGGAGTTTCTAGTCTGATCATTTCGCCTAGATTGCACGTATGGGATAAATTAACTTATATTAGCCAATGAACATTTGATCAATAAACTCAATGATAGTAAGATAATGACCGGGACCATCAATATATAGAGTCTATGATACAACTTCCTGCATCTTTTAGTCCGATAGCCCAAATACAACAAGAACATAACAGACAGAGAAACTTCTATAATTCAGTTCAAAACTTAGAACTTATCTGACATTATAGATCAGTTGGTTGACTCCATACCAGTAGAAATAGGAATATACAATTTTTACATGAACACACCATAAAACAAGACTGAGCAAGTCTATGGTAAATTTAAAGTAATTTGAGGAAAGTTTCTAGGTTAAGGTTAAACGAAAGCTTACAATTAGAAGAATATAAAGATACAATGATCCTAATGTTTAATTTACATAATGAAAATACAAACAATAATTGAATTCACTTGGTATTGTTTGTTTGAATATTCCCATTGATTTTTAGGACTGATCAATCTCTTACTGGCCATATGTGCATACTATGCATATTGCCTCGATATAGTCTTAATTCACAAGCATTATAAACAAAGGTGGACTCAGTAGCTGAGTGGATAACGCGATGGCGTTTGAAGCGAAAGGTACTGGGTTCGAGTACTAAAGTGAACATCAACTGTACATCCAGCTGACGAGTCCCAAATAGGACGAGACGTGCGTCCTGGATTACACTGCTAGTCACTGTCCATATTTGCTTACAAACAATAATTCTTCACAAGCTAACTTTCATAATTTACAATATACTCATAATATTCCGTTCTGTTATTATGATGATTAAATTGACTTGATTAATAAGAGACAAGAATTTCCCAATGGATATTTTTAAGTGATTTTGTTAAAATGTATAAAGAATCAATGAGTTCCCAACATCCATTTCTTTATAATTAGTATATTTATTTAAACACATAAATATTGGTACAAAGGGGCAGCACATATATATGCGCCACACAAATCTCATTTGATTTGTGTGAGGGCTATGATAATAACCAGGTGCACAAACTGAAGTAGGTGGTTCTCTTAGGGGACCACACCCCGAGCCTTTAACCTAAAGGTCTAATCCACAAGGCAGTGGAACATCATGAGGAGATGCAGTCCCATGGTAGCCCGTGACCAACGATTGGTTCATACGCCATTTGTTCCCTCAGGATCCCGGAACCCATGTGCACCATTGGTTTGTAGTCAGGGTTTTCCAACTCCCCTACGTTGATATTCCGTATCCACAACCCAGTTAAAAAGCCGGGCATTCGCTTTTCGTCCTCCCAATTTCGTAAACAACAGTGATGCCACGAGAAGGCAGTGAGTAGGACTTCCCTGACAGGCTGTATACGCGTGGCTGTGTGAAAGCGTTTCGAAGGGGAGAGCGGACTCTCCCTACTCTTGGCCGTACAAGGCCAACTACATGTTGTACATCAAGAAATGATTTAAGTTAGACTAATATCGGAAACCTAGGAGCATTATTACACGGTTGTATTGTTCGAGTATGAGACTAGATAATCCTATATTGACACTGTTTTTTTGCTTGTTCGTTTGTTTGATATCAATTAGTTTTCTACCATTTAATATGACTTTTCACTCTACTGTTGGTTGATTGATCTACTGTTGTTACAACGAGATAAATACTTAATAAAATAGAAGTTTAAAAACTATTCTATCTAAAATTACTGTTCATATATTTAAGTTACTATTAGTTTATTAAAGACATATTACTCAGCTCTATTCCAATTAGGGTTTAATTATGCCCCTATTGAATATGAACTGCATAAGAGAGGAGCATCTGTTTGCTGTGTAGCGTTCTATTCTGGCTATACAAGTGAAAGAGCACGGGTGAACTACATTCTAGACCAATAGTTGTTGATTGTTGTTCTCAGCTGTTATCTCACAATAATCGTGTAACAAGTACTAGATAAAGTCTAGACAAATTAATCGATACCTAGATTGGATCAAAACAACTGCACTCCCGTAATTAAGACCTGATCTCACGGGATCCGAAAACGGCTCAAAATATCTATTTTTGTACCATCACTTACACATCTACCAAGTACGGATTTATGTAGTCAGCTTTGAACCACAGACTTGTGGTGGAGATATTACTCAGTTCCCTATATTAAGGTAACCGAGATGGGACTTAAACTCGAGACCTAGTGGTTGGAAACTGAACCACCTAACGTCTAAGTTATTACACTCCACTCTCCTACTGTTGGTATGATAACCTTAATTTCTTAAGTTTTTACTCATGGCAACACTATTTATTATGAAGTGGCAATAATTGGAGAAGAGCTGGGAAAAGTAATATATCTAGCTAAATACAATAATTGGAGTATTTAAATTCTGCTTCACTCACTTCGGTTTGAACAACAGTTACAGAAGAAAAGAGCAAATACTGATAATCCATAGTATTAGGGTGAGTAATAGCATGTAACATACTAAAATGTGACCACATGGGAAACATCAAGAAACGAGTTTGGTAAAACTTCTTTGATAAAAAACAATTCGTCTAATATGTAGGTAGTACTAATCACAGATCGATTTCAGTTAGAATAGCAGTGGATATCAGAGAGCACTGGATAGCTGCTTCGTCCGAGTTTAGAACTCTTCAGAAGTGCGAACTAATTGCTGGTACCATGGATTGAACCCAGAAACTACAAATACCGCGGCGAATGCTTAACCATTAGGACCGCAAGGTCTGCATCCATTGCTACAACTCCAATTCCAATAAATTTGCGATATACATAGCACAACGATCAATCACTAACATCAGTGACAACAGTTTAAATCTCGATACATCTGAAGTCTTCCACCAGTTACAATATTCACCAGAACGTTAAGAATATCTTACAGTAAGTTACTAGTGAGACCAACCTGTAACGAATACAACCTATAAAAACAGGATAATTAAACTAAACTCCACAAAACCTCTGAAAAATAATTTACCTAGTAATTGGGCAAATGTTGGCCTAGCTTTTGGTTCATGTGCCCAACATGCTCGCATCACAGCATCGTATATTGGATCTGGACAAGAATCTGGTTGATCTAACCGACCAAAACGTGGTGTATCGATCATTTCTAATATTTGTCGACCAGTAAGACCAGCCCATGGTGTAAATCCATAAGTGAATATCTCCCATAATGTAATACCATAAGCCCAAATATCTGAATGTATAGTAAATAATAAATCATGTATACATTCTGGTGCACACCATGCAATTGGAAGTTTAAGATTAACATTGAAATTTGATTGGTAATATGATTTGCCTAGTTGAAGAGCACGGCTCATACCGAAATCACTAATTTTTACCTATAGATAGGAAATAAAAGAATAAAGAAATATTTAGGTACTGGATTGATTAATTTGAACATAGTGGATTAATTTAATGTTTGATTATGAGAAAGTAGTTTAAACTTAAGGATTCTGTAGTCCATAAGTTCACTGACTCAATCAACAATTGGAATCATGACTATCAAATCTGGTTGTTTTCAAATGTAAATGTATGGCACTGATAAACCATTGATATGAAATAATTGGAGGTAGTTGGTAGGACATCTTACTTAACATAGCTTTTGTGTTAGTTATCAGATTGTCCATTGATCGACAGAATTTGACTAGCACTAGGGACTAGACCAATATGACATTGAGCACTACTCAGTAATCAATAGTAAATGACTGATATAACTAGACGGCCAGTATTATTTGTTCCCAAAATACTTGGCTTTTCAAGTTACGACTTCCCGTTAGATCTTTAGGAGTTTAATACAGAAAACGGTATCAGTGGTTCAGCATATAAATTTATTAGAAGAATAGGAATCCAGTTTAACAATCCCGTATACACAGATAGGTTCTTTTTCCTCGACGGACTGGACTCAGCTAGAACATCATTGTAAACCAGAAGGCGTTGAACAATTATTTCGTTTTAGTTTCCAACTATTCAACAGTGTGCACCTACAACACTGATAGACATTGAACCAAGAAATATCAAGCTTCGCAGAAAATACGTTACCTTTCAGTTGCCTACCATCAAATAGTCTACATTACCAAGTTCAATCACTTTGTGATATACCTTAACCATAATCTATATTCAAGTACTAAGAGCTAACTAGAAGTCATATAGATCTCGAAAATGACTGGTGATACGAACCAATTGCCGGAACCTGTAACACGGGACTTCATTTCGAGTAATTAAATCTACTTGACTAAATAAAATCCCGTAAATAGATAACATAGTAAATTGAAATAAAGAATTACACCTTTCATACTGTTAAATTATCGTTTTCCTATAAATGTTTATTTCATTTACGCATATATCAAGAAGAAACGAGAGTTACGGGGTTGTGGCAGACACAAACACACACACACACGTACGTAAATACAGTTTTGTACATATTCCGAGTGGAATTTCAAAATTTATTGTTTTAAATTTTTTTTTCTCTGGTAAGCGTTTTTTTTTAACGAATTAGTTTTTCTACGGGATGGGGTCTCTAACACCATACCCAAGCCTCCTCCTTTACCCGGACTTGAGACCGGCAGTAACTCTAAAAGAGCCCCCAAATGCTCTGGTACGACCAAGAGTGTGGAGAGTCAGATCTCCCTCTCCAAATACTCTCACATGGCCACGCGTATACAGCCTATGCCAGAGAAGTCCTACTCACTGCCTTCTCGTGGCATTAATGTTGATTACGAAATTGAGAGGACGAAAAGCGAATGTCCGACGCTTTAACCGGGTCAATTGACACGGAAAGTTCACCTAGGGAAGTTGGAAAACCCCCATTCCAAACCAATGGTGCACATTGGCTCCAGTATCTTGAAGGAACAAATGCCGTATGAAACAATCGTTGGTCATCGGCTACCATGGGACTGCACCTCCTCATGATGCTCCACTGCCTTGTGGATCAGATCTTTAGATCAAAGGCTCCGGGTGTGTCCCCCTTGAGTTTGGGCACCTGGGCAGTATCATAGCCCTTACACAAATCAAATGAGATTTGTGTGGCGAATATGTATCTAGTGCCCCTTTGTACCAATATTTATGTGTTCAAATAAATAAATAACTACAACAGCTACATGCAAAAAATAGAAGCAGATATGAAAACGATGAATAACAACTGGAAAGAACTAGAAAGGATTGCCTAGGACAGGGTTAGATAGAGAATACTGGTGTGTGGTCTATCCTCCTCGACGAGGGATAACAGGCGTAAGTAAGTATATATACATAAATGAAACATTTGTTATCAGAAAAAGTTAAATTTTATAAAAGAAAAACATTGAATTACAGTAATCCATTTACGTAATATAGATTATTTAAAGATAATAAAGATAATACACTATAATGGGTCATCTAATATTTATATAACTAAAGCCGACACAACAGAAAGATCATTTTTTATTCATTCATATTATTAATGAATGTTATTGGAGATTAATTATATCATAATGGAACATTTTATAAACAATTTATAGGGATACATCTGTGACTTATTAAGACCATTTGTACTATATCCTTATATGCAAGCTATCTTTTCTATACTACCACTACTACCACCACTAAATTAACTACTTCTATGAATTCGATGTTCATCTTGTTGTGCTAACAAGGTATGGCAACTTGGACTGATGCATATATGTGCCTGGTCCTACGTTGTAGCTGACTGACTGACTGACTATTAAGACTATACTTTTTATTGAATTTAATTCAGGTACAACTAGGGGACAAAAATAGTGCAAAAATAAAAAAAAACAAAAAAAAGATAATCATTAGAAATAGAAGAGGGAAAAGAAGTACAATCAAAGAGAAATATATATATATATACGTGAACAAGGTATACTATGTAATGGCAGAATACAGTCCACTTAAGAATATAGCCAAGAAGGATATTTTTTTCAATTAAAGAGGTTTTATGATGTAAAAGAAAACTATAGTAAGATTGTCACTAGTTTATATTCTGATTTATATCTAATAGCGTTTCAAGCTCTACTGGATTGCTTCACTCTTAGTGTTACCAATTTAAAAAATAAAGAAGGCCGTATGCTAATCTGTTGTGGTCTTACGTCCAGCTTTTTATCACGTGAATTAGCCACCAATCGAAATACGACTTTTCTAATCTCAATGTTGTGCCAGTCAATGACGTTCGAACAGTATGAGCAAACTAGCGTCCTTATCAGTCCCTTGTCCTCCTAGACCTTCCAATTAAGTCCAGAACACCAATTACAGCTTCTGTTATGCGGATCGATTATTTCAAGCATACTCAGTTTATATATCAGAAAGACAGACCGCATCACACCATAAAATAGAAAATAATATCTGTACAAGATCAAGCCGAATGTGGCTGTGAACGTGGGATACAATAATCAATAAACTGAGTATAATTTAGGAACAGTAAATCGTATAATAACAATCAATAGGTCAAAATGAATCATATAATAAGATGAATATAGATAGATGCAATCTAATCGCTGAATAGTTATATAATAGAAACATAAATAAAATAATGATCGATTACTAGATCCCGGAAGTTGCCCGTACTTATGTCTTCACTAGGGTATAACACTTTGGACACCAAACGGGTAATGATGAAGGACCAGCAGATAGCAGTCTAGTACAACTTAAAAAAGTTCATTAACTAGTAGTATGATCAAGTGTTTCACTTTATGCTAACAATATTTAATATTAACATTGTCTATGGAAGATAATATAAGAAGTGCAACTCTAACACTACCACTGTGATATATGCTACATATGCTGACAGATATAAGTAGTATATAGCACCAACCAGAAGTGGAATGGCTGGCAGCAGAAAATTAAAATGAAGAGAACAAGAAGTAAATCGGAGAGCAATCAAAATAACAACGGAATTAGAGGAATAATGGAGTATGTAAAAGACAACATAAACACGTGTAAATGATGTATTTAATACATGATTTTCATATTTTACGAACGTACTCTGTAATTTCGCGTTAAACAATAAATCGGTCTTGCCCACTGTTAGCGGAATAGAGATAGGAAGAAAGCACGTTCCGTGCAATATTGTGTTGGTGCATGCTGATTCGCTTTCTTATCCAATTAGCGCTAGTGGATACATGGAGAAGATTCTAGAATCACCTTATGTAAAAATCATAAACATACTAATGTTTTCTTTATTGTGCTTCCCACTTCCATCTACCCTTGTTATTTGGAATGTAATTTCGTTCCTGTTCAAACGTCTTCTGATTTGAAGACTCGTTGAGTGAAGTAGTGTTCAAGAATACTAAGCAATAGGAATAGCTGGGTAGTAATAAAGAGAAATTATAACACTCACCAAGTCTTTGTTCACTACACCATTTAGTTCTGGTCACCTCTGAGCTACATCCATTTTTAATTATGAGGACCAGTGATTACAACCAGTTGTTCAATCGAGAAAAAGTTTAATAGGTATGTTGTAACTAACATTTTAGTCATTTTTCTATTCAGCTAGTAAGTGAATGCTAAATAATGAAGTTACTTTCTATTACAGATTTCATTTCAACCATCTAGAGTGATTCACAAATGTTAGTGTAGGGAAGCCTAACATGTCGGATGAAAAACACTAAAATACAGATGGTTTTTGTATCTTACAACATAAAACTTGCCAGTTTAAAATATTTCAAATGATTATCGACAATCTCATCAAAAAATTCACAATTTACCTCAATACTCTACGTTATTCAGATAAATTTCTCTTACATATTCAGGAAACGATCAGTCAGTCAGTCAGTCAGCTACAACGTAGGACGAGGCACATTTATGCATCGGTCCTAGTTGCCATACCTCGTTAACACAGCAAGATGAACACCAAATTCATAGAAACAGTTTATTTAGTGGTGGTAGTATATAAAAGATAGGTTGTATATAAGGATATAGTATAGGAAGGAAGAACGTTATGAAGCAATTTCACTCTTAAGGTTTAAGGGAAGATAAAGAGTGTATACACCTACGCCATTGTGATCGATTCTGAGCGACGTCACACAGAGTCTCCAACCATTGGTTACGATAGTCACGCGGACCCCAATCAGGCAGTCTGCATCTGCCAACATGGCTCAGACTAGAAGTAAGTGACTTCAATGACTGATGCCACGTTTTGGTTTGGTCATTCCTAACTTTCTTACAACCATCCCGACCGTTGCTGCTACCTTGACGTGGTGGTCGGGCTTGCCTATCGTGATGAAGCAATCGAGCTATGCTGGCTGGAACAATCGTTCCTCGAAGTCCTACCATGCCAGACAGGTCGGTTGAAGAGCGGTGAGACTAAAAGCAGCAAACCCAAGGTCCGAAGGCGAAGTCGTACTGTCGACTGTACAGAGGTGTGACAGCAGTAAGGTGTTTCCTTCAGACAACCAGCATGACAGCGATGCTGCCTTCCCACAAGAAGGGGTGGGGTTAGAAAAGGTCGGCCCTAAAAATGCACACCTCGCTTTATCCCACGGATATCCGTCTCCGGCGGTAAGGTTTTTTTTTGAAGAACGGAGCTAACACAAAAATTACCCACAAAAAGGTCGTGTGTGACCGACCTCAAGCAGTTGTCCCTTGGGCACTGCAGTCACGCTCTCAGGTCATTAAGACCACTTCTAACCCAATTTCCTTTTCAGGTACCCCCAGCAGAACCCTTCCACGGTGTGGGCAACCGGGAAGTGATAACTACCCTCATACCCTAACAGCACTCAAGACCACCGTATTCTGACTGACTGATCCCCTACACTTTTCAGCATAGCGCATCGTGGTAATCGGTAGTAGAGAACAGAATAAAATAAAAGGTAACAAACTTAAATTTACAAATAATAATAATGGCCCAAAACACGTAGCCTCTTTAAATAGTAAGTCAGACAAAAAACTTCATTCGGTATAGACAAAATATGTGAAGACCAAAAGAGATTAGATGTAAAACCTACATCAATATAAATGAAATATGACAGATTTTATTGCAGAATCTCTAACGGTACAAAGGTCATACGAACCCAATATTCAATATGAGCTAAGAACTTATACACATTTCAATTGAAGTTAAAAAAAGAAACTAACATAAGATAACTGGGATACTCAACGAAAAATCCTTTCTGTTAGTTTAAGAAATGCCACTAGCTGACGAGCCATAAAACTTCAGTGACGGAATCGAATGATTGTTCAAACTTAGTTTAAGGCTTTGTGAAAATGTAATTTTACAACTTTAGACGAAACCAAACCTATAACCTCTCCTTCATGATTCCAGTTAGATCAATGAATCAGAATATAAAAGTTCACACCTTCCAACTTCAAATTAAAATTAGTAGCATAATGTGATTCTTATCCAGTGTTCCTCGATGTTTTATTGTCCGCCTTCTGACTTGCTTAAATACAATCACTTTGTTAAATCCATCTAAAAACTGATTATGGATGAACACACGATTGTTATTCTTATTAAGTGGATAATAGTAATTGAATAGTTCAGTTTTTGTATTACTTACAATATCTTTTGAAAAGACTAGAACATTTCTAGCCGCCAAATCACGATGTACAAGACCACATTCTTCTAAATAACTCATTCCTCGAGCAATCTGTATTGAGAATTTATGCAAAACAGGAACAGAGAAACTGGATCTTAATTCAGATTCACGTAAACATTCTAGTAGAGAACGAAGTGGAGCAAGTTCAGTAACCTAGAAACAAATACACAATAGAAGCAATGTAACGAAAATGTACTAAATAATAATACCAAAATTGGTAAAGATAGAAACACTCACTGCTATAATAATCAAAAATAAGGTGTTCTAATAGAGAGCACATCGGAATTTTAAGCGAAAGTTTTGAGTTTCATCATGAACATCAACACTGGAAAACGTAGGTATATTCGGTCGAAGAATCTCAAATAAGACAAAACGCACGTCCACAACCCAATTGCTATCCTCTATCCAGGTTGAACATAAGGTAATCTACGTTTTGTTTACGTTGGCGTAAAGTAATCCATATCAGTATTAACGATAGAGAAACATGGTTTTATTAAAATTGATCGGATCAACTTTTTTTAAATAATGCCTGGAAAAATGGAATTCACTATACGGATTTTGCCCTGAATGATATGTTCAGAACAGGACAAAATATTCCAAACTTCTTTATACAGATACGACTGATGATAAGAGAAGCAGCTATGGTCCATATATGGGTTGCGCAGTGGTTAAATAATAATATTTTATGGGTCTAAAGTCGGTGGATCTGATGCAGATGTGAGAGCGAGGATCGGCAAGGCAAGAGCAGCATATCTAGAATTGAAGAACATCTGGAACTCAAAACAATTGTCAACCAACACCAATATCAGAATTTTAAATACAAATGTCAAGACAGTTCAACTGTATGGGGCGGAGAAGTGGAGAACTACGAAAGTCACCATCCACAAGACACAGGTGTTTATTAACAGTTGTCTACGTACATCGGAAGAGCTGGACGGCCGTTTCATCCTATTATGGGACTCTTCAGCGGTGCGTATCCACGATCCCGCCTAACGAGATTCGAACCCAGGACCTATCAGTTAAGTTAGTAATTTGAAGTACCAAGCAGTTATCAATCCCATCACCATATATCCTAAATAATTTACCCTGTTTAATCTATATGAATTATTTAGATGAATCACTGTGAACATATAGATAATATATTCAGTTTTGAAAAATAAACAAAACAGTCACCTAATTATTTAGATCAATATACTTTAACCAAAATTGTCAATTAACATAGATGGATCTCAACTACTCACACTAATTAGTAGTAGTATATGGTGTTGCAAAGCTGTTGTAATAAACTTTAGTGTTAAATTCACTTGGTTTTTTTTTAAATCTTCTCATTGATGTTTTTTCAGGACTGCAACTGGTCAGTCTCTAATTGGTATATATGCATACTGTGCGTATTACCAAGTGATTTTAAACTTAACCCCATTGCACAAGCAAGTGGCAACCAGAACTCAATAGCTGAATGGATAACGCGATGGCGTTTGAAGCGAAAGATACTTGGTTCTAGTCCTAGAGTGAACATCAACTCTGAGATGTAGGTACATCCAAGCTGACGAGTCCCAAATAGAAGGAAACGTACATCCTGGATTCCAACGCTGGCCACTATCCATCTTTGCTTAACTTTAGTATTGTTTTTGTTTTTGAATTCCCTTCACAATTTCAATCATATCATCATCACTTCTAGTTAAAATGGTAAATCTTTACACTTCAATTCTAGTCATTAATAATTATTCATCTATTGTATACCCCTACATACCCTACAATTATTCATAATTAGACTGATCGAAATGTAAAATATAAAAATCAAATTCAAATTACACGACACAATATCAATTAGACTACTATTTCAATAATAAAATGCTTAGTCATACAAAAATTTACAAACCAAAAAGAAAAACAACAACAACAAAAAAACAAACAAACATACAAATGAAAAACGAAAAAAAAGTGAACAAAAAACTGTCCAAGTATTACTGTTGCATTCAGTCAGTCAGCTACAAAGTAGGACCAGGCACATATATGCATCAGTTCAAGTTGCTATGCCTCATTAGCACAACAACATGAGTTTATTTGTTGATCTGTTAACACAGTGTGTGTTACTTTAAAGAGAAAAAAAATTTTCAAATACTTCTATACATATACACATGAATATATGAAGAAACAAACAATTGAATAACGTTATTAACACAAACAGTTAGTTGTTCAATAGATTAACAATTAGATCTTATCAGAAAGGGTTTTCGTGGAGATTTCGGTAATTTTATATGGTTTAAATCATGAGTTAATTGAAGCTAGACCATTATGGATACTGGCTCAATGGTCTAGTGGTTAAGCACTCCCGCGCCAGACTGATAGGTCCTAGGTTCGAATCACGCGAAGCGGGATCATGAATGCACACTGCTGAGGAGTCCCACAATCATATTTTAAATAAAATTCATAATATATTAAAAATTGAATATAAGCTCATATAGTTATCATTATAGGTATACTGTTAGTGTTCATCAATGTGGAATATCACAGAAATAAATCATCTTTTTTTATATAAATCAGTTGAGATGTTAGTTGGGAGAAAAAGAAACAACTGAAGTTGAAGGAGAAATTGAAGAGATTTAAGTTTTAGATAAAATGTTGATATAAGCCAACAACTAGTAGCTGGAAAGAAGATTTGTTTTAATATTAGAAATATCTCACCTCAGTCAGTCAGATACAGAGTAGGACCAGGCACATTTATGCATCGGTCCTAGTTGCCATACTTCGTTAGCACAAGATCAACACTGGATTCATGGAAGTAGTTCATTTAGTGGTGGTAATATATAAAAGATAAGTTGTATATAAGGATATAGTATAGGAAGGAAGAAAGTTATGAAGCAATTTTAATCTCAAGGTTAAAGGGAAGATAAAGAGTGTATACACTCTTTGTCTTCCCACGTTGAAGGGACTATACAGTTACATAAATTATTTGTAGCGATCTACGTTCAACTATGTGTGTCCAATATTTTACAGACCAAGTCAAATACATCAGTGACTTTTTGGTCAAAGAAATTAGTTTCTAAACAATATATATAACACGATTGAACCTGGTCCCATCTGCTTTGGACTTGGGCAGCCAAGTAGTTACACAAACAATATGACTTAAAGACAGGTATACAAATCTACATTCGGTAAATGAATAGCGAAATTAATAATAATTCATTCCCTCAACCCAACCACTGACTAGTTTGACAAGCAATACTGACTAGTGTTGGAGACGATTGGAAGTAAATTAGGGGTGGTCGAACCAAAACATAGCATCAGTCCTTAAGGTCACTAACTTCTAGTTTGAGCTATATTGGTAGATGCAGACTATTTGGTTGGGATCCGCGTGACTATCGAAACCAATGGTTGAAGACTCTCAGTGACATGGCTCAGAATCGATTACAATGGCCTAGGTGTATATACACACCACTTATCTTCCCTTAAACTGTAAGATTAAAATTACTTTATACATTTCTTTTTACGATCTAATTCTTTCTTCCTGTACTATATCCTGATACACAATCTTTCTTTTATATATTACTACCATTGAAGTACCTGATTCTATGAATTCGGTGTTCATCTTACTGTGCTAATGAGGTATGACAACTTGGACCGATGTATTTATGTGCCTGGTTCTACATTGTAGATAACTGACTGACCAACTAAATTAAGAACGACCATTAATTAAAAATGTTTAGTGGGGTTGGTGAAATACCGTATATCGGAAATAATTTACTTATTTTATTTAAAAAATAAATATTGGTACGAAAGGGGCACCAGATATATATGCTCCACACAAATCTCAATTAATTTGTGTGAGGGCTGTGATACTGCCTGGGTTCCAAACCGAAGCAGGTATCGGAAATAAAGTAGGATCACATACACACACACACACACAGATGTACAACAACCAGTTAAAGCAACTTTTTTAAATGAAAGTAAGGTTGAATTGACAATCAAAAGTATGATTAAAATGTCAGAGTAAGCAGAACAAGGACACTATTATTATTATTCATTAAAGAACATATTATCTAAGGACAAAGTGTTTAAAACACGTTTTGTATGTCGATCAAACTTTAACAAGTGCATAAATCTGTTATTCTTATTGTGAACTGAAAAAATTAATTTTACTTTGGCTAACGTTTAAATAAATAATCATTCAGGGTTTTTGATTATCTCGTGCTGAAATTCAAGTCAGTCAGTAAGTCATAAAGTAGAACTTCGTACGTACCTACGTACATCAGTTCGAGTTGCCATACCACATTAGCACAGAGATACAGTTGTCGATTCAAATCCCATAGTGGTAGAAGTAGTAAGAGTATAAGCATTTATGTGAAGGATTAGGGTTTGAAGATGTTATTCAAGGAGTATAATCCAGTGAAATAAATTTGAGAAGAGAAAAAAGATAGAAACTTGAAGAATTCAGAAGATTAGAATTTGGTAGAACACAAAGAGTGGAAGCACCTTCGCCATTGAAAACGATTTTGAGCCATGTCATTCAACGTCTCTAACCATCGATGGATATCATCTTGCGAATCCCAACCAGGTAGTCTACACCTACCAGCATGGCTCAGTCCAATTGTCAGTGACTTCATAGATTTGTGCCACGTTTTGGTCTGGTCACCCTTAGCTTTCTTCCAACTTACTCCTACACCATGAAATTCAAGACATCAAATGATCAATCTCCATAAGCAAAGATGGATAGTGGCTAGCAATGGAATTCAGGACGCGCGTTTCGTCCTATTTGAGACTCATTAGCTGGATGTACCTACATCTTAGAGTTGATGTTCACTCTGAGACTCGAACCCAGTACCTTTAGCTTCAAACACCATCGCGTTATCCACTCAGCTATTGAGTCCTGATAGCCACTTGTTTGTTGCAATGGGGTGAAGTTTAAATTCACTTGGTATTATTTGTTTAAATCTTCCGATCGATGTTTCGGACTGATCAATTGCAGTCCTAAAACATTAATGAGAAGATTCAAACAAATAATACCAAGTGAATTTGATCAATCTCAGTAGTGCTATGGATCGTTTCAACACAAACTTTGTTACGAACCTTAGTATACTTCGAATATGGTTAGCAACACTTTGTCCTCTCTGGGACTTGCCAGATGGATGTACCTGGATCCTAGTTTTGATATTTATATTGGGACTCGAAACTAATACCTTTAGCTTCAAGCAATAATGCATTATCTACTGAGCTAACACTTTCACATTTGTTGAATAAGATATTGGTTATTTGGATTCAGTAGCTTAATGGATACTAACACATTGGACGCCGGAAGTCAAATATATCAAGTTTTTTTAAAGATAGAAACCAGTAGATTTTAATCTCCACGGTTAAAGAGTTGCTGTGTTCAAGCACGAGATCTCAACATCTTAAACTTCATGGTTCACACCGATGAAGCGACATTTAGAACAAAATGTAACATACGAACAGTATTATAGTCCCGTTCTCTATTATTATTGTCCAGCTGATATTTATTTATGATAAAAATAATGTACGGGGTGAATAAAGAACAATATTAGTTTTTTACAAATCAAGTTGGACAATTGGTGACAACATTCTAGTTATGCAACAAACCAATTCTACCTACAGTTGATAACAATGGTTTATTTATTTAATCACTTAAACACATAAATATTGGTACAAAGGGGCACTAGATATACATGCGCCTCACAAATCTCATTTGATTTGTATGAGGGCTATGGTACTGCTCACGTGCCCAAACTGAAGCAGGTGGTTCTCTTAAGGAGCCACCCCCCGAGCCTTTCACCTAAAGGTCTGATCCACAAGTCAGTGGAGCATCGTGAGGAGATGCAGTCTCATGGTAACCGGTGACCAACAATTGGTTCACACGCCATTCATTCCTTCATGATACTGGAGCCCATGTGCACCGTCGGTTTGTAATCAGCGTTTTCCAACTCCCCTAGGTGGACTTTCTGTGTCCACGAACCTGGTTAAAGCGCCTGGCATTCGCTTTTCGTCCTCTTAATTTCGTAAACAACACCCGTGGCACGAGAAGACAGTGAGTAGAACTTCCCTAACAGAGGCTATATTACGCATGGCCATGTGAGAGCATTTGGAGAGGGAGAGCGGACTCTCCCCACTCTCGGTCATACCAGGGCATTCGGGGGCTGATAGCAATGGGTTAAATAATAAACATGGACAATGTTATCAGTTGTGATCAGTGAGACATACAATTAATGAACAATGATATAAATAGTAGCTACAAATTATTTAGTAGGTAGATGATTGACTATGACAATTTGTCTTTCAATTGTCTGAATTGTGGATTCGAAACCCGCTTCACTTAATCAATATTAATAGGTATCAAAAGTAGTGGTTTAGTAAGACAACGTGCTTTGTGACTATTCAGTTAAATGATTATCCCAGTGTGTCAATAATCGTTGTGAAGAGTAATGAATGAAGTTCTCTTTAAAAAACATTGGAATATTCATGAACAAACAACTATACTATTTAAGACAGCCTCAATAATAAGTGGTAAAACGTTACTGGTTTGAATCCTGCTGACTCGATCCAAGTTTTATTGTAACTCTTACTATTAACATCATTTATTTATTTTATATAATCAAAGCATTAATCCTAACAGCCCAACTAATCTGATAAACATCAATCAACGGTTTAATCGACACAGGTTTCATGCTTAAAGCTATGACAAAGACTGGTAAAGATGGTGAGAAAATTGATGAAATTAAGGATCTTTACCGAATGAAATAGTTGGAAGATGCATTACATATGAACAATCACCGACTACTCTGACGAGCAATGTTCACTGATGTAAGAATAGGTTGGAAAAATTCTAAGACAATATACATCAAAATGTGGGATCAGTTCTATTAAGTCATTGATCGTAGGATGGTGTAATGTAGGTTGATGCAGACTACTTCAATTGAGGAATAAATCCTTTCCTTATGAATTATATTATATATGCTTAATATTGTCCTTCTACCGTTAATCTAAACACTATTTCCACTACTTTCGTAATTATCATGATAATTTCATCTTACCAAATTCTAAACCTCTGAATTCCTCATAACCCTATACTTTTTCTCTTTTCAAATTTATTTCACTGGATTGTACTCCTTCAATAACATCTTCAAATCCTAAACCTTCACATGAATGCTTATACTCTTACTACTTCTACCACTATAGGATTTGAATCTACAACTGCATCTGTGTGCTAATGTGGTATGGCAACTCGAACTGATGTACGTAGGTACGTACGAAGTTCTACGTTGTGACTGACTGACTTTGTTGATAAGGTGTCTAAAATTAGATCAATACAGATGCATCATGGCATTTATGATAGATAATGACCCGAAATGCCCTGGTACGGTAGAGAGTGGAGAGAGTACGCTCTCCCTCTCCAAATGCTTTCACATGGCCACGCGAATATATAGCCTCTGCCAGGGAAGTCCTACTCATTGACTTCTCGTGACATTACTGTTGTTTACGAAATTGAGAGGACGAAAAGTGAATGTTCGGCGCTTTAATCAGGTTGGTGGACAAGGCGAGTCCACCTAGGGGAGTTGGAAAACCCTGAATACAAACCAATGGTGCACATGGGCTCCAGTATCCTGAAAGAACAAATGGCGTATGAACCAATTGTCGGTCACCGGATACCATGGGACTGCATCTCCTCACGATGCTCCACTATCTTGCGGGTTAGATCTTTAGGTCAAAGGCTCCGGGTGTGGTCCCCTAAAAAAAACAGTTTTGGCACTTAGGCAGTATCAGAGCCCTCACGCAAATCGAACGAGATTTGTGCGTTGCATATGTATCTGGTGCCTTCTTGCACCAATATTTATGTGTTTAAATAAATAAATAAACACACGCAAATAATGAATAAAACTTATGAAGCATAATTAGGAAACAAATATAAGAACATAAACAATAATAACTAATGGTAAATTACTTTACTTACAATTTTTATTACATTTGCATCAATACATACACCAAAAAGTTGAACAATATCTGGATGATCTAGTCTATGCATAATTGATATTTCACTTAAAAAATCACATGTTTCCTCTTCATTCATTTGTTTAATATCCATCATTTTGATAGCAACTTGTAAACCACGTCTTGTATCCGTATGCCAAACACCCTATGGATAAATTCATCATATATATATATATATATATATATATATATATATATATATATAAAAGATATTATGAAATACAATACAATGAAAACGATATGCTTTAAAGGGGGACATTGTGACTAGTTATCAAGTATAGCCTATTAATGTTATCATAATTATAATTAGGTGAATCCACGTATATTTATCAGTCGAGGCCCGAATTGCTCACCAGTAGCGTGGGTTCGAATTCTTCAAGATTGCAATTGCCCCCGGCAAACAAGTGCTAAGTAGTATGAAACTCGGACTAACCATATATATATATATATAATAAACAGAGAAATAAATTAAAACAACGTGTACACTAAAACTAACAGATCTCAGTCTAAGTTATCATACCGTCACAATCATGATGATATCAAGAAAACGAAAACCTAAGTGAGTATGTCAACTCGAACTGATGTACGTACGTACGAAGTTCTACGTTGTGACTGACTGACTGTAGTGGGTGATAAGAAAAAAGAAGATAGAACACATGATGAAAGAAAAGGAAGACACAAAATAATATGTTTGAAATTGGAAGGAACTTAAAGGAAAACAAATAGTGTGTCATTGTAACTGATTTTGAACTATTCTCTAAAACCATCAACAGTTGATTGCGATCATGTGTACGTGCCAATGTAGCTCAAATTTAAGGTACACTTATATCAACATAGCATAGCAACGAAAGGTAGATATCCAAGATAGGACATGAACAAAAACATGCATCAACCAACTTAAACGACGAGTTGGTACAATGCTTATCTAGTACCTTACGTTGAACTTTAATATTCACTATTTGACCAATTTGTTATAATCTAAGCCCAATGACATTTAGATAAACAAGATTGAATCATAGTATTTTTATGTAACTAGCAGTGATATTCAAGACACATAGTTCATCCTATCAAGTACTCGTCACTTGGATTTACCTTAGTTCCAGTATTGCTACACATACTAAGACATAAGCTTAATATCATTCGCCTCAAACACCAAAGAGTTATCAACTGAGCTATCTAACCTTACAGTTAGTTACAGTTCTGGAACTTTATGTCTTGTGACAAGAATGATTAAATTAATATTTAATTGAATGTCATTTTATGATGAAAACTTCCTTCTTTCTCAAATAAAATGCTAACCAAAAATAAACAAAGTAATTTATTTGCTTATCTAATTAATCAATAATTATATAGAGTTGAAATCATGAGTTAATTGAAGCTAGACCACCATGGAAAACCTTGAAGCACTGGACAGCCGTTTTGTTCTATTGTGGGACTCCTCAGCAGTGCGCATCCACGATCCCACCTAGCGAGATTCGAACCCAGAACCTAACCAATGGTCTAGTTGCCAAGCGCTCTGACTGATAGGTACTAGGTTCGAATCTCGTGAGGCGGGATCGTAGATGTGCACAGCTGAGGAGTCCCACAATATGAGGAAACGGTCGTTCAGCGCTTCCAGGTTTTCCATAGTGGTCTAGCTTCAATTGACTCATGATTTCAACTATATAAAATTACTAAAATCTCCACAAAACCCCCTTCTGATAATCAATAATTAATTAAATTATTATTTATGGATAATAATTATATATTCATTGAAATCAACTAATCAATAAATAGGGGGAACATCGATTATCTTATTATAAATAATCTAAAGAATAATATGAACGATAAATAGAGAATTTTAGTGGAGAAGAGACATTTTTAAAAAAGAAAAAAAGAAAATTATCGATAAATTTATTAAATTTTCTGGCATGGAAGAGAAAAATGTTTTCCTGATTTTTGTATTCGATGAAAAATATAAACAAATGTGATTATTATTTCTTATCCTCCCCTCCCCCGAAGGAAAAAAAAATCGGAAAACCAAAAAATAATAGATTTATATCCGAAGAACATATATATATGTACAGACATATAGGCGTATAAGATTGTTGATTAATGTATATTAATGGTTATGAAAAGATAAAGAAAAGTGAGTAAATGAGTTTAGACAAATAAAAGTTTGAATATTTTATTAGTTCAATCAGTCACAATGTAGAAATTCGTACGTACCTACGTACATCAGTTCGAGTTGCCATACCACATTACCACAGAGATGCAGTTGTCCAAGCATCAAATCCTATAGTGGTAAAAGTAGTAAAAGTATAAGCAGTAAGGTGAAGGATTAGGGTTTGAAGATGTTATTCGAAGAGTATAATCCAGTGAAATAAATTTGAAAAGAGAAAAAAGATAGGGACATGAAGAATTCAGAAGATTAGAATTTGGTAGAACACAAAGAGTGGATGCACCTTCGCCATTGCAAACAATGTTGAGCCATGTCATGCAAGGTTTCTATCCATCCATTGCTATCATCTCGCGAACCCCAACCAAGTAGTTCACCCACCAGCATGGCTCAGTCCACTTGTCAGTGACTTCATGGATTTGTGCCACGTTTTAGTCTGGCCACCCTTAGCTTTCTTCCAACCTACACCATAAAACATCGCACGTCGGGGTAATCGGTGGTTGGTCATACGTAACATGGCTCCCAATCATCTCAACTGATGAAGTTTCACTACTTCATCAATCGGTTTGCCATCCTTACCTAGTTAGAAGTTTTTAAAGGTTTCTGAACTTTGTACTTATTGATGTACATACTAAATTATGTATCATGATAAATTATTTGATAGATAATGAATAATACCACATGATTAATTTGTAAAACAATGTGAACATGATTTGAATTTATAATTGACATGGGTAGAATTAAGAGATTATTAACTGAGTAGTGACTTTTATCTTCATTGTTCATGAAAAATTTGCCCCAAAATGCCCTGGTACGGTCGAGAGTGGAGAGAGCCCGCTCTCTCTCTTTCTCTCCAAATGCTCTCACATGGCCACATGCATACAACCACTGACAGCGAAGTCCTAATCACTGCCTTCTCGTGGCATTACTGTAGTTTACGAAATTGAGAGGACGAAAAGCGATTGTCCAGCGCTTTAATCGGGTTGGTGGACACGGAACGTTCACCTAGGGGAGTTGGAAAACCCTGATTACAAACCGACGGTGCATATGGGCTCCAGTATCCTGAAAGAACAAATGGCGTATGAACCAACTGTTGGTCACCGGATACCATGGGACTGCATCTCCTCACGATGCTCCACTGTCTTGTGGATCAGACTTTTAGGTCAAAGGCTCCGGGTGTGGATCCCTAAGAAAACCACCTGTTTCGGTTTGGGAACCTGAGCAGTATCACAGCCCTCACACAAATCAAATGAGATTTGTGCGGCGCATATATATCTGCTGCTTCCTTGTACCAATATTTATGTGTTTAAATAAATCAATCAATAATAATAAATGAAAAATTTAGTATCCGAAAAGTAAGTAATATTCTCTTGGCTGAATATCATATATCTATGAAAACTTTAATCCCCTAATGTATTCAGTCAGTTAGTTGACTAGTGGTTCCCTCTTGTGAAGCTTAACTTCTCAGAATTTGAGAATTGGTTTCCTGAGGGAAAAAAAATCAGGTTTATCATATGAATCTTTCGAATGTTATTCATCAACATAATGATGCTGTCAGAGTGGTAAGTAAATGAGTAGCCTGAATCCTTGAAACATCGGTTAATTGTAAGAAATTAACATCTTGGTCTAACGATTATTATATAAGAAGTGAAGGCAAAAAATGAATCCAGATAAGCATGAAACGAATTAAATTTAAGCTTTGGAAATATAACTCAAAAGAAATGAACGAGATAAAGAAACAAAAATTCTGTGATTACGCTAAATTTAAAACACAGAGGAAGTTGAAGAATATATGAGATTGTGATGTTCTCTGAGAGCCATGTTACTTAGCATTTCAAACAATAGATTACGACTATTTTGTGGATCCAAACAAGGAAACTTGCACTACTTTTCAGGTTTCACACCAATAGCCAATACATTTATGGGCTTATACTGTACCTTCGTTTGTTTAACCATAGCTTTCTTTGAACCTACTTCTACTCTAGCCAGAATGACACGCTCGCATGGGCATATGTAGCACGTCGCGATGACCTTGGCTACTTGAGGTTTACAGCCTCGTCAACTAAATTATTATTTCTATTTGGATTCTTAAGGATCCATTAACACGTATTTGTTTCACTATATGAGAACAGCGTTCCCAAAACACTTATGGTGTTACGTGGAACATAAACAGAACTGAGCTTAAAAAGCTATTGTTTAACAGTCACAAAGCAACACACCGCAACCTGTTGAGCAGTATACTTACTGCCTCATCAGGAGACGGACATTTCCCGTGGGCCTTAGGTGATGCAAATCGGCAAAAGTCAACTAAGTTTCCTGAATGGGCTGATTTTTTATCAGGCACCAATTCAACAGAGCTTATGAAATTTCCAATAATCACTCGACGGTTAGCCTGTGAAAATGAACCTACGAATATAAGAATTAGACCCTAACTAACGTAGTATAGCAGAATATAATGTTCGTTCATCAAATATATAGGCGGTGAAACAATCTCATTTATTGAACAACACTCTGGACTGGATAAAAGTACATGTTCTTTCTGTTAAACGTAATCTTTACTAAGTAACTACAATATTTCCGTTAGCAGACTGTTTGTGGATTAATAACACCTCTCAATGAGAAAGAAGATCTTGAGATGCTGGAGATTTGCAGCTCAGGTGGGTGATTTTGATGTAGGTTTGTTCTCTGAGCTGGATGGTTTGGTCGTAGAGCTTTCATCATCCTTCTGGACGACATCATCAACACAAAATTCGGGTAGAATGAAGATCTCTAAGAGAAAGTTAAATTGTACAGAGATGTAGACAATGTTTTGTGATGAATACCAATCAAAATAAGATACCTATACTTGATGGGACACAACTAAATATAACACTAAAAAATATTTTCGTATTAGAATAAAGTAGATAATTAGTTGTTTTTTTAATGTTTATATTACCTGAAAAACTTTTCCAAACTCTCCCTCACCAAGACTACTTCCAATTTCAAGTTCATTCGATTGAATAACCCGATAATTTGTACTTCCATTAATGGTCAAATTATTCAAATCGTCTGTTAAACACTTATTACTACCATCATGACACTTAGAATTTTGTGTAAGTAATAGTGTACGCCGTTTTGAATCACCATCTTCAGATGTTGGTGTACTATCTAATGAAATGGATAATACATTGAGATTACGAGATGACAATCCATCCAATGTATCTTTGAGTCGTGGCGATACACAGCGACCACTGGTGGATCGAGCTAAGCGCTAAACAAAAAAAGGAGAATGAAAAGAGTTATTTTTCTGGAAACCTTGATAGCAATTAGGAATTCTTGGATTTTGTTGCTTCAGTCAGCCGTAATTTAAAGTACTTTATGAGGTCTATAGATAGGGTGAAAACTATGAATTTTGTTTCGTTGACATTATGGTGCAATCCACCAAGCTTTAAATACTTACTTACTTACTTACTTTCGCCTGTTACTCCCAATGGAGCATAGGCCGCCGACCAGCTTTCTCCAACCCACTCTGTCCTGGGCCTTCTTTTCTAGTTCTTTCCAGTTCTTGTTCATTCTTCTCATGTCTGTCTCTATTTCTCGGCGTAATGTGTTCTTTGGTCTTCCTCTTCTCCTTCGACCTTCAGGATTCCATGTGAGGGCTTGTCTTGTGACACAATTGGGTGATTTCCTCAAAGTGTGCCCAATCCACTTCCAGCGCTTCTTCCTGATTTCTTCCTCCGCTGGAATCTGGTTTGTTGTCTCCCACAGTAACTTGTTGCTGATAGTGTCTGGCCATCGGATCCGAAGTATCTTGCTTAGACAGCTGTTAATAAACACTTGTATCTTTTGGATAATGGCTTTCGTAGTTCTCCACGTCTCCGCCCCATACAGAAGAACTGTCTTCACATTTGTATTGAAAATTCTAACCTTGGTGTTGGTTGACAATTGTTTTGAGCTCCAGATGTTCTTCAGTTGTAAATATGCTGCTCTTGCTTTGCCGATCCGCGCCCTCACATCTGCATCTGATCCACCGTGTTCATCAATGATGCTGCCCAGATATGTAAAGGTTTCCACATCCTCCAAAGCTTCTCCATCAAGTGTAATTTGATTGGTGCATATTGTGTTGTATCGGAGAGTCTTGCTTTTCAATTTGTTTATATTGAGACCTACTGCTGCTGAGGCTGCTGCTACACTGGTCGTTTTCTCCTGCATTTGTTGTTGCGTTTGTGATAGAAGAGCCAGATCATCCGCGAAGTCTAAATCGTCAAGCTGCATCCTGCCTGTCCACTGTATCCCGTGCATTCCTCCAGATGTTGACGTCTTCATAATCCAGTCGATCACCAGGAGAAAGAGAAAGGGTGAGAGTAAGCAACCTTGCCTAACACCGGTCTTTACCTCGAACGAGTCGGTGAGTTGTCCTCCGTGGACGATTTGGCAGTTTAGTCCATCATAGGAGTTCCGTATGATATTGACTATCTTCTCAGGCACGCCGTAGTGTCGAAGAAGCCTCCATAGTGTCGTCCTGTCCACGCTATCAAATGCCTTCTCGTAGTCGATGAAGTTGATGTAGAGTGATGAATTCCATTCGATTGATTGTTCCACAATGATCCGTAGAGTTGCGATTTGATCTGTGCACGATCTATCCTTGCGAAATCCAGCTTGTTGATCTCGAAGTTGGGCGTCCACGGAATCCTTCATCCTGTTTAACAATACTCGGTTGAAGACTTTTCCTGGTATTGAGAGAAGAGTGATGCCCCTGTAGTTGTCGCATTTGCTCAGATCACCTTTCTTTGGTATCTTGATCAGAAGTTCTTTTTTCCAGTCTGTTGGTACTTGTTCTTCGTCCCAAATCTTACTGAAGAGGATGTGGAGTATCTTGGCAGTTGCTGCTACATTTGCTTTCAGTGCCTCTGCCGGGATGTTGTCTGGTCCTGCTGCTTTGCCGCTCTTGATTTGTCTAATGGCCATGCTAATCTCTTCAATTGTTGGTGGGCCAATATCGATTGGGAGGTCTGTGGGTGCTGCTTCGATGTTGGGTGGGTTCAGTGGAGCTGGTCGATTCAAGAGTTCCTTGAAGTGTTCTACCCACCTGTTTCGTTGTTCTTCAATATCGTTGATTACTTTGCCTTCCTTGTTTTTCACTGGTCTTTCTGGTTGACGGTAATTTCCAGCAAGTTTCTTTGTTGTATCATACAGTTGTCTCATGTTTCCCTCTCTTGCAGCCTTTTCCGCTGTCATCGCTAAATCGTCCACATATTTACGTTTGTCGGTCCTGATGCTCCTCTTCACTTGCTTGTTTGCCTCTGTGTATTCGGCTTGTGCCTTGGCTTTTTCCGCTCTTGTTCGGCTGATATTGATTGCTACCTTCTTGTTCCTCCTTGCTTCAATTTTATCCAGTGTACCAACAGTGATCCATTCCTTGTGATGGTGCTTCTTTTGGCCCAGAACCTCCTGACATGTTGAAACGATTGCCTCCTTGATACCTTTCCAGCTGCTCTCTATGGTGGTTCCCTCTCCATTGAGTAGGTCATGAAAGGCCTCGAACCTGTTGCTGAGGGCTATGTTAAATTCGTTGAGTTTGTCAGCATCTCGAAGAAAGGCCGTGTTAAACTTTTGTGATGTTGTCCGCGCCGTTGTCCAGTGCTTCTTGAGTTTTAGTTTCATCTTGGCGACCAGCAAATGGTGATCGGATGCTATATCAGCTCCTCTTCTGGTTCTCACATCCTCCATCGTCCTCTTGAACTTTTTGTTGATGCAGACATGGTCGATTTGATTTTGTGTAGTGTGATCCGGTGAAATCCAAGTGGCTTTGTGTATGTTTTTGTGTGGGAATATGGTGCCACCTATGACCAGTTTATTGAAGGCACATAGGTTTGCAAATCTCTCACCGTTTTCGTTCCTTCCTCCCAGTCCATGTCGTCCCATGACGTCTTCGTATCCAGTGTTGTCCTTTCCAACCTTGGCATTGAAATCTCCCATTAGAATGGTCAGGTCCTTGGTTGGGCACTTCTCGAAGATTGACTGCAGCCTATCGTAGAATTGGTCTTTAGCGTCTTCATCGTAGTCGTTGGTCGGCGCATAGCATTGGATGATGTTCATTGTAATGCCCTCTCTCTTTGTTCTGAAGGAGGCTTTGATGATCCTCGGTCCATGAGATTCCCATCCTATAAGTGCATTTTGTGCTTTTCTAGACAGCATCAGTGCCACTCCTTGTGTATGTGGGGCATTTTCTTCTTCATGACCGGAGTATAAAAGAAGTTCCCCTGAAGACAGTCGTTGTTGTCCAGCCTGCGTCCAATGTGTTTCACTGATTCCAAGCACTTCCAGGTTGTATTTCCTCATTTCCGCAGAAATTTGGAAGACTCTGCCAGTCTCCCACATTGTCCGGACATTCCATGTACCTATAAAAATTGTCGCTCTGGTTGTAAGAAGGTGCATCGGCCTCATGACTTCCGAATGAACTCGGCTTTCATCATGAGACGTCATTTTTCCTTCTACTCCCAGGGCAGAGTTTGAATGGTTTGAATGATTTTTTCTGGTTAGCGTTTTTTTAGCGAGTTGATTTTCTACGGGATGGGGTCGCTAACCCCATGCCCAACCCTCCTCCTTTACCCGGGCTTGGGACCGGCAGTAGCCCCTACCAAGCTTTAAATAACTAGAGATAATTGTTAGAATTTGTTAGAGTTAGCTACAATAAAACATTTCGGAGGGGATAATCATACAGCAAATAAGGGTAGGGATGTGTGTGATTATCAACAAAGTACCGTTTGCTAAGAAATATTGAATAAGAAAATACAACACAAAAAATTTATGTGTTGATGTTTAATTATTTCTAATTATAATCCCTCAAGTTAAACGAACCTTTCTTAGCTTTCCCATAGCAGTTTGCGGACATTCTCGTTTGAAATGTTTACGTAAACGTCGTTGTTCTGGTCGACTGAAACCTAGTTCTGCAAGATCAGAATCTTCAACATATTTAATTTGTTGAACTGAACGGATCTGTAAAAGTAAAAAAAAAGTAGTGAACTATGAAGAAAATCATCCTGATAAATAGGATATTGATTAAAATGACACTATACATTTCATGGATTTGATTTGAATAGCAAACTAAGGATATACAAACATTTGTTTTAATTTTGTATAGGTAGCAAGGTGATGTTTCCAGACTGTAGGAAAGTCGATTTTCCGCCTGCAAATATAGGATTAGGTCTATTAATTGAGGTGCATTTGTTCACCCAAATCAATGACTATGTTAACGTCCTTGTATTAGTCTAAGTTAAACTTAGTTGGTGAAGACCAGAAATACTGCTCGAAAGTATATGAAATGAAGTCTGAATTTGTGTTCTAGTAACTGAAAACCGGCTGATTAAACTACCGAGTCACAGCTTCACTATCCATTCATTTATTTAATTATGGTATACATTGCAGACTACATTTGGTTCATTAATATTAATGTTTTAAGGAAGTCATTACTAGAATATTTTGAAATGCCCTGTTAGCTGGATGACAGAATTTCTGGTGGGACATATTCTATCCTCTAGTTCATAAATTTAGTAAATTGTTTTAGGCTAGAATTCTAACTGAAAAACTGTGGCGTATGTATGGACTAAAGATTCCTTTGCACTTGATGATTGTCTGATTTCGAATTTTAAATACAATACGTTTGTTCGTGCCCATCTAGTTCTCCTTCGTTAAATTGCGTTACCTCCGGAATTCCTAATTCGTACAATAATTCAAATACTTCTAATTATCACGAAAACGTTTCAACTTAAAAACCATTAAAAGGTTATAGATATTCATGAGAAATCAAATTGCTTTGGTCGTTGTAGGGTTTTTTCCTCAATACAAAGCATCTTTTTTAGCTCCCTCAACAATTCATCGACACAAAGCTTATTTTGAAAAAGTTAACAACTACCATAATTATTGTAGTGGTTTTTCTTTTAGTCTTTTTGGTCACCACGTTAGAATAGTAGTGAAAAGGTAAAGAAAAGCAGAACGATGGATACTACTGTAAATTTTTGAACACGTGATCTATGTATTTTGTGTTGAATTAAAGTTTAATAGAAATTATAACTTTAAATATATAAGAGAATTCAGTGTTTTCTAGATGAGTATCAATGAACTTGGATATGATCGGGTGTGCAGTATCAAAGTGGTACATAACTTAAAATGCTACTTTTACCATTTTAAAGAAAGTTGACTAACCTTTAAATGACGAGTAAGTACGGAGTAATAGTGGTCTAGTTCTGCATCCTTTAGGAATTCATATAGATCCTTTTCTGAAGGTTGTTGCTTATCTTGATTAGAAAGATTTAAGAATGATGGAGGCGGATTTTTCAGCACAGTGCATCCTAAAGGCATGACCGGATACTGTCTTTGTTCCCACACCTCTCCTATAGTACCTCCTGTTGCAGTTGTTGCTAAACTTAGTGAATCAGACAATGTGTCTGCACTTGGAGCTGACAGTTTTGAATGACTACAGCCAGTTCTAGAACGATCGCCTCGAAGGCGCTGAGATGTTGATCGTGAACGTAGATTTCCGTTTTCACTGATTATAGGGATGTTAGAAGTCGGTGCCAAAGAGGCAGTCAGCATGCCCAAAGAAGTTGAACGATAAATTTATTATACTTCAGAAACCTAATTCAATAAAAGGATGAAAGGGACAATCAAAGTACTTTCAGAGAACTATGAAAATCCAGAATTATAAAAACAGAAAAGTGAAATAATTTAAAAGCAAGGAAATCTAATTTGGACTTCAACTCCTTACGACCTTATGTTCACATGGTTCATTGTGTTTACCGATTGCCCCTAAATGCCTTGGTACGGCCGAGAGTGGGGAGAATCGGCTCTCCCTCTCAAAATGTTCGCACATGACCACACGTATAAAACCACCGTCAGGGAAGTCCTACTCACTGCCTTTTCATGGTAGGCCCGTTGTTTACGAAATTGAGAAGACGAAAAGTTAATGTCTGGCGCTTTAACCGGGTTGGTGGATTCGCAACATCCACTTAGGGGAGTTGGAAAACCTTAAATCCTAACCGACAGTGCACATGGGTTCCAGGATCTTGATGGAACAAATGGCATATGGACCAATTATTGGTCACCGGCTACCATGGGACTGAATCTCCTGGTGTTGCTCCACTGCCTTATGAATTAGACCTTTAGGTCAAGAAAATCATTTGCTTCGATTTGGGCACCTGGACAGTATCCCAGCCCTCACATAGATTATATGATTTATGTGACACATCTATTAGGTGCCTCCTTGTACCAACGCTTGTTTGAATAAATAAATATCAACTCAATGTGGAGCCCAGCAAAAAGTGCATTTGTACAATTTCCTCTTCTCCAAACATGTATTAAGACGATTAACGAGAACAAAATAAACGAAACAGAAAGAATGGAGAAACCAGACATAAGAAACAAATAAAAATGAGAAGCGAAAATAATGATACGATACTGTCTTATAAACTCAAAGGAAAATAAAGCCACTGAAACAGATTTGTAAAACTGTCATCCAACCAGTGATAGGCAACATAGTTTATTCTAGTAAATTGTGGTTCGCTATTACTAACGGACTTCTGAACTACCTCAATTGATGAAGGTATACGGTCTAGATAATACTTGCCAATATCACCAAGTACTCTGTCTTGATTTAGTAACAATTATTCTGCTGGCGCGTGTCAAAAGAGTGGGTAACAATCCGATAACGGGACTCTTTGTTTCCATCTATCAATACCAATCAGAACAACTAAATACTTTTTCCTTGTTGCAGAACGCAAAGCGATATTGTCACCACTCATCATCTCACATAGCAACACATGTGCTATCATGCTTCTAAATCTTGACTCGTTTAGAAGCAACAGTCCAAAGGAAAAAAGAAAACGTTTGAAATTCATGATCGAATGAACACAAGTTGAGACCACGCATTCCAGGATCCCACAGAATGGTCAACATTTGATATATCAAACCCGGGCAAATGAAGTAAACTAAGAAAGTGAAACTTCCTAAAATAGAGACTTGAACACTGTAGAGGTACCTACAGCAAGAATCAATGAAGCGACCGACCTATGGTTCTTATTCGAGTTACAAATCAAAGAAAACCCTGACTTTAGTTGGTAATAAATGGTCAAAGTCAATCAAAAATTATTTCATATATACATGGCTGAGACAAAAATTATGTTTTATCTCACCTTGACGTTTCTATTCCAGACACAAGGGGGATCTAGTGTTGTTAACATATAACGAAAATACGAAGTCAATTAAAAGTTAATGCAAACACAGCGCGCAGCGCAGACCTTCGAGTGTAAACTTCAGTCCTTGAGGTTTAAAGATTCAGATTTGTATGCTAATGACAGAAGGCCAACGGCCTATGTTATTTCTTTTCTAGTATGCTTCTATAAATGTCTAGTCTTCTCTCGAATAAGTCAATTGAGGTGCGGACACCACTGCTTCTGGTTATAGGTTCCAATAATTGATGATTCGGTGTGAAAACATGTATGTTGCGGATATTTTGTTCGTTCTTGGCCTTTCTACTCTCCCGTTACGTCATCTGGGATTTTCCGATGTATTAAGGAAAAAAGAGAGGATATATTAGGTCCAAAATCATTTTTTAGTATTTTATAATTAGACCATTTCTCAATTTGCTCTAGGACAGAGTAAAGAGATCTAGCTTTTCAAGCCGCCCTTTTCACGGGCGACTGTCCTCTGTGCTTTTTCTAGGATATCCAAGTCACCATTTAAACGGTGGCTTGCAGAATGAACGCGGTTTTTAAGCTTAGTTCTCATTAAGGTTGTGTATACTGTAGTGGACATGGTAGTATCTAACTTGACGAATGTCCATCTTAAATCCTATAGGGCTCTAAACACATTAGCTGTGACCTCCCGGCAGTGGGCCGTGGCCTTAAGATCATGTTTCACTGTCAACCTCAGATCCTTTTGAGACCGGACCGCATGTACAGGCATTTCTCCTATGCTGTACCTACTTACTTTTGTACCACTAAAAGGCATGTAGACACACTTTGCCGCGTTGATAGGCATCAGCCACTCTTTAAACCAGTTAATCACATTATTTAAGTCTGCCTGAATCTTCTTCTTCGTTTAGAAGAGGCTTTTGAGTGAAACCTGCCCAAAAATAGTTAGTCATAGCCTCTCCTTTTTCCTGATCATCCTCTGTCATTTCAGATCCACTCCCCGAATTAGGTTGGGAATCCAGTGATGCACCCTCGTTGTGTAATTCATGTACGAGAATAATCTCTTAAGCTTCATGACTACAGATTGCGCTAACTGAATTTCATATTTTCTCTGAGCTTCCCGGATCTTAATTATACACTTATTTTTTACCGACCTTTAGCGTCCCATGGTACTTGCTGTGTCAAAGCTGATGGCAACGTTCCAAGATTTCTTCTTTTCTCTTAGTAAACGTTGAATATCCCGGTTTATCCAGGGATAATAATAATAATTTATTCTCAAATAGCAGTTTGTTACATGAGGCATGCCAGTTTACAGGCAAGATCAAATTGTTACAGAAGTTAAAATTTTCATTGTTGACAATTATTCAGCTGGGTTGATATTTCATAAGATATGAATGTAGGTGGATTTCGTAAGGAACATGTCAAAATCACACTTGGCGCACTTTATGGAGGTAGCGTTGCAAAATACAGCTAATGGTCGAGAATAGATATATGCAAAGTTTGGAACTTTTAGATGCTTCAACCTTATATCCCTCCGGAATATCTGAGGCTTTAATAACGGTGTAGGACGAAGTCACCCTTGCCATATCTGTTTTCGGTGTGATATCTCCAGGGGGCTGAAAAAGGTGTAAGAAAAAGGAAGGACGAAAAGCAGAGCACACAATATTCGTGGAGAAATAAAATAACCATTTAGTTTTTTTGTCTGTTATTGAAGTACTTTTTAGGCAAGAGCATACTAATGTGTTAAAGAAAAATAAGTGTGAACAAGGTTTGAGTGGATAAGGAACTGTATAAATGAAGGTAGTTCAGAAGGAAGTATGGAATTATGTGCAATTATAAAATAAAGTGCTGAAAACAGTATTCCGATACAAATGACAGTCTCCCTTTACTTTAGAAGCTGTTTGAACTCAACTCCGCCTGTAGCTCCTCCAGGGCCTACTGCCGGTCCCAAGCCCGGGTAAAGGAGGAGGGTTGGGCATGGGGTTAGCCACCCCATCCCGTAGAAAATCAACTCGCTAAAAAAACGCTAACCAGAAAAAATCATTCAAACCATTCAAACTCTGCCCTGGGAGTAGAAGGAAAAATGACGTCTCATGATGAAAGCCGAGTTCATTCGGAAGTCATGAGGCCGATGCACCTTCTTACAACCAGAGCGACAATTTTTATAGGTACATGGAATGTCCGGACAATGTGGGAGACTGGCAGAGTCTTCCAAATTGCTGCAGAAATGAGAAAATACAACCTAGAAGTGCTTGGAATCAGTGAAACACATTGGACGCAGGCTGGACAACAACGACTGTCTTCAGGGGAACTTCTTTTATACTCCGGTCATGAAGAAGAAAATGCCCCACATACACAAGGAGTTGCATTGATGCTGTCCAGAAAAGCACAAAATGCACTTATTGGATGGGAATCTCATGGACCAAGGATCATCAAAGCCTCCTTCAAAACAAAGAGAGAGGGCATTACAAAGAACGTCATCCAATGCTATGCGCCTACCAATGACTACGATGAAGACGCTAAAAACCAATTCTACGATAGGCTGCAGTCGATCGTCGAGAACTCTCTTTTTTTGTTTTTAGTTTTTATAGGGTATAGAGTGAGCTTCGTCTTTAGCCAATTGTTTAGTTAGCTTATAATAGGATTACTTGGTAGGAAGCGGAACCAATCCAGCTTTTTTTAACATGATTTAAAGAGGTATTTTGCATGAATAATTTCACATCAATACCATTGGTTCGTGACATACCACTTGGCATAAGGAGCCGTAATTTAACATATTCTTCCTTAAAGACACGGGTGGGTTGAAGTTATCTCCCCACCATCGTGTTTGCTAGTCAGTAACTCCATCTTAATATGCGGTCATTCAATCTTTGAGCACCTACAAATTAGAATACAGGCACCTCGAATACTATATTTTAATGACTCACTATCACCTTGAACAATCTAAGGCATCTCCTTTAATGCTTATATATGCTCAGTCCCATTACAAATTTCGAAATTGCATAACCAACGTAACAAATTGAACTGTAGATATGCCTTCTACTTTTTGAGAGTATTCAACTCTCGAAGTAAACTGCCGGCTGCGGTGGTCTAAGCAATATTTCAAGAGTTCTTCAAGGGGAAATTTTATGTATTCTAGAAGACTGGGAGTGTATTTCACTATAATGTAATAATATTACTCATTCACTTGTTGATTATACCTAGGTCTTTATCTCAAGGTACGGGTGATCCACTGCAACTAGATTTTGATGCTCGTCAAGCAAAACCTTATAATTTTCCCTTGGTATTGTTTGTTTGAATCTTCACACTGATGTTTAGGACTGCAATTGATCAGTCTCTTATTGACATGTGTAAATGCTGTGCGTATTGCCTCGATATAGCCTTAATTCACAGGCATTATATGCAAAGATGGATAGTGGCTAGCAGTGGAATCCAGAACACGCGTTTTGTCCTATTCGGAGTCGTCATCTGGATGTAAATACATCTCAAAGTTGATGTTCACTATGGTACTCGAGCTCAGTACCTTTCGCTTCAAACGCCATCGCGTTATCCACTTAGTTATTGAGCCCTGATAGCCATTTGCTTGTGCAAATTGGTGAAGTATGAATTCGCTTGACATTGTCTGTTTGAATTTTCCCATTGATCCAGCTGACGAGTCCCAAATGGGACGAAACGCGCGTCCTGAATTCCACTGCAAGCCACTGTCCATCTTTGTTGCTTCTCTTCCGACCGAAATCATGTGAAAGGTTTGGAAATCTAAAATTTAATAACCAGTAATTACCGCAGGATAACGCTCAGAGAGACTAATTACTATGAATTTCAGAAATCCTAGAGCACCAGCGTTTGTTTAATACTTAAGATTCCTCAGTTACACACTTCATGATTCAGATTTATTTATAAACACGAATTTTCGTTGACAGCGACGGCACCGAAGGTTCATCTGCTAATTTGTTCAGACAGTAACCTGTACGGTGACTTTGTACATTCAGATTTTCAAGAAAGTGTTACCTCTAATCTGGGAACGTAGTTTTACCCCAATGGGTGGTGCAATCCAATTAATGCAAGAAAGGACTATTCAAAGTTTTTAACAGTATACATTCCTTACAAACAGGGAGCATCAGTCAGTCAGTCAGTCAGCTACAATGTAGAACCAAGCACATATATGCATCGGTCCAAGTTGCCATACCTCGTTAGTACAACAAGATCAACACCGGATTCATAGAAGTAGTTAATTTAGTGGTAATATATAAAAGAAAGGTTGCATGTAAGGGTATAGTATAGGAAGGAAGAAAGTTATGAAGCAATTTTAATCTTAAGGTTTAAGGGAAGATAAAGAGTGCACGCCCCTGCGCCATTGTGATTGATACTGAACCATGTCACCTAGAGTCTCCAATCATTGGTTATGACAGTCACGCGGACTCCAACCAAGTAGTCTGCATCTACCAACAGGGAGCAAAATCCTATTCCTAAAAGATAGATCGAGCCGGTTTATTCAAACAGGAACACTAATGAAAAACGGCAACTCGTGAATATTAGGTAGATCAAAAAGTTGTTGTTACATGTAGGGTTATTTGAACTGGTTTCCACATATACATACATACAAAAGCGATATGACAAGTCACAGTCACATCTCTCTAATCTTTCTGCCCTTTACAGGCAGAAAGTTTGGAATCTTCAGACGAGCTGAGCTGGACCTTACTTTTGGTCCGAGAACGTTTAAGCCCCTGAAGGATGCAACGGATATTCTAGTTTTACTACTGGATACCAGTAGCACCTTCTATATTCGATTGTTCACAGTCAGATAGAAATCAGAAGTCAGACGAGAAGAGGCTGGAAAGATATATTTGATTCGTTACCAATATATCGAGGACCTTTTCTACAAGCTGGCTAATTAAACGTAGGAGCTGTGTCCCACGCTGTGTTGAAACGTGATCTGGTGCGGATGCATGACCGAAAGCCTTCAGCTAAACAAGTCCACTTAAACAACATAGTCAGCATCCAATGTCGAACACTAAATGAACTATCGATTTTGGGGAATTATTTACAGCTACACCCCTTTTTCTCTAGACATATTTCAAAGGAATAGTGAAGTACTTAACACATATGGAATGGCCCTTCAATATAAGCAATCTGGTGCAACCAGGTGCCTTTAGTTGCCTAAATAAATTTTTAATGCAATCAAAAACCTCTCATTGGCACAAACAGTGCCATAATAACAAACGGATTAAGATAACCGAGATTGCAACGGCGATATTACATTGTATATTGATCTAAATCAAATAACGCTCTCAAAGCTTCGCGCGCTAGAAACAAGTTCAGACCTTTAACCACGAAATGGCGAAGTCGAGTGCAAAACCACGTACCAACTTAACAGAGGAAGAACTTTATGAGATAGAAAAACAAGAGTTTGAAACTGGTCCTCTTTCTGTGCTGACAAATGCAGTTAAGAACAATACCCAGGTAAGGTGTTTCCTGATGAACTTGATAGATCATTTAATCACCAGCATATTTTTTGCTTAAATTCTGACGTACTAGTGAATGTCGAATATTTTATTTTCCACAGGATATTCGCGTTCTATGGCTTAATTTTTTTGTTCTAAAAATGAGTAGTCTCTGTGCTGGCGTACCTTGTTGAAAATGTTTTCTGTTAGTCTCTGAGGAATGACTATAATGATCCATCCAGAGTGAAAAATCAATTCTGCAGGTATTTTACATCCTTCCGCAACCTGTGAAATATGATGGAGTTATCAATAGTAGTAAAGACGGTTAGGTACAGGAAGCAAGAAATAAGGATATTTCTAGGTTCAGGATATAGGAAAGACAGCATTAGTTCACTTGAGTTTTTTTGAACGTCTCTGTATCAAGTCATTCAAGCCTGTAACTATTGGTCACCATATTTGCTTGAACCCCAACTAAGTAGTCTGCAATTACCTGTATCACTCAGTCCAATACTCGGTGACTTCTTGGACTCATTTTCTGGCTTGAATTCAGCCTCTTGCAGCATCTTTCCAGTCTACTACACCAATCATCATTTTCTGTCAAGGTAGTCCGTGGGTGGACGTACGTAATATATGTTTCAATCATCTCAGTTGATTATTCATTCCCTCCGATCGAATTACCATATTCATCATGTACTCCATGCCTAATCCCAGCATTACTCAGTGGTCTCAAAATAAGTAAGCAGTACTTCAAAAATACGTCTGGTCGAGTATTACTAACCTGTGATCAAACCCAATTCCTAAAAGTTATGTTTCATCTTTAAAGGAGAAGAGTGAACTCCTCCGTAAGCTTATTCTTTAGCTGGTAAACAGACCTAGCCTATGTCACAAATAACACAAGTTGAGGTAGCTAGATGAACTTTTTGAATCCATGCCCGGTTTTTGTCAGGCCTAATAAGGTTTAGTGTAGGTGTGTCATCACTTTGTTTATTAGACCAGATTTTAGGCTTTGATTTTAGGTCACTGTAACTCATAAGTGTTGTTTCAGTTATCTGTCGTAGGGCAACACTTAAAGGCTCAACTGCTAGCATTCTTTTCCGATTAAAATGAAGTAGGATTTTCTGTCTAACCATTTGCCCGTCGAATTTCAGGCTTCTAGTATTCAGCTCTGAAGGTTCATTTTATGTAAGAATGCAATAGGATTAACTCCAGTCTGATGGCGTCGTGTAAAATAGTACTTTAGTTGTATTTTCAACCAGGTTTTCTTCAATCCAAAGTTAAATTGCTACATAAAAATTACACAAGTTTCAGTATTACCAGACCTTATCATAGTGTATACGAATTACTATTGCATGATAAAGATATACTAGAATCTATATTTGAGTTGATTATCGAACTGTTAAGCTCAACAATCGAGCACTCGATTCCCACGGTCACACTTGGATACTGCTACAACTGCGCAGATTCTAACAACCCATTGGTATCATCATACTTCATAGTGTCATTTAAAGCCAGGGACACAAACCTAAACGTAATCACTGAGTTAATCGTCATTTTCTCCCTGTTTGCTAAATTTTCAGACTATTGGCAATTTTCGAAAATGCCAAAGTATTTATTAGCTGTGATGGCCTGTCGCTAAACTTTTATCATGGTTTTTAAATGAAAATGCAATTATTCCCGGTGTTTAGCAGCGATGACGTTCAAATAGTGGAAATAACATTTGAGACGTACCTTAGTGCTCACCAAAATATACAACTTAACTGTTAAACTGTATCTTGGACCCGGGGCGCATTGTACTATGTATTAAATAGTTGGAGATAATGTGTTCGTTGATGGTTGTAATTTAAATTTTCCAAATTTCTACTGCCTGATGAACAAACATCAGATAACTAGTGAACAATGTAATTAACATTGTGAACTACTGCTGTTTTATTGTTCGATGTAAATGTTGGGACTGTTAGTCTTAAAGATAGAATTTCACCCTGCAGATGCACTAACAATCGTGGGTTTTTTACTGTTTATACTAAACTTTCTTCTTAATAATTTACTATGAATAAGTACCAAAGAGTAGTGTTAATGTGTGAATCTATTTATATTTGTATAGGTCCTAATCAATTGCCGAAACAATAAAAAACTCTTAGCTCGAGTAAAGGCATTTGACAGACATTGCAATATGGTATTAGAAAATGTCAAAGAAATGTGGACCGAAGTGCCCCGACCAGGCAAAGGTAAAAAGAAGTCCAAGCCGGTAAACAAGGATAGATTTATCAGTAAATTGTTTTTACGTGGCGATTCCGTTATTCTTGTTCTTCGCAACCCTTTGGCTACTGCTGCAGCTGCTCCTAGACCATAAGTATATCATTGTATCCATATCGTAATTCTGACATGTTTTATAAATAAATCTGAACTGATGTTTTATTTATTTAAAGCATTATTCGTTCTAAAATATATCTAACGTTCTCAGTCTACTGAAAGTTGATTATGTGCATCAGTTCAGGTAACTGAGTTAAATTGTTAGTCTTTAAGTTAATAAAAGTTTGTCATATCAAAAGAAATGAAGCATAGTTCCTAAAGCGCTATAACTAATACCACTACATGTGATCCTGTGCTTATAATTTTGAAGCTGTAAAATTCTGACCCTAATACTACTAGTAGGACAAGTCACCTGTGATTCATTAGTCGACCAACCAGTGATAAATTCAATTCATCCACAGTTTAATTTAAACAATAATAAGATGTGTAGAGAAGATAAATTACAATGTTCATCTCATTCATAATTGGGATCCTCCTTAATTATGTCAAGCCGTTTATATCCATGTAACTGTTTGTTATTGTAATTCGTTAAATTTAACCAATAAAAGTTCTGTTATTCTTAAATCCTGACAAGGCATTCGAGTTCTTATTGCTTCTTCGTTATTAGGTAACTTAAGGGACATGGTCACATCATAAAGTTTGTTGTACTGGTCAATATTAATACTATTGTAAGGAGATTTATGTTATCTTAGGCGATTAAAAATTATTCTACTTGTAACTAAAGTTGATGTTTTAATATATGATCATCTATTATTATAAAACAGAAATCTCATTTAAGATCAGCCCCCAAATGCCCTTATACGGCCGAGAGTAGGGAGAGTCTGCTCTCCCTCTCGAAATGCTCTCATATGGCCACGCGAATATATAGCCTCTGTCAGGGAAGTCCTACTCACTGCCTTCTCGTGGCGGGGGTGTTGTTCACAAAAGTGAGAGGATGAAAAGCGAATGTCCGGCGCTTTAACCGGGTTGGTGGATGTGAAGGATCCACCTAAGGGAGTTGGGAAACCCTGATTCCAAACCAATGGTGCACTTGAGCTTCAGGATCCTGAGGGAACGAATGGCGTATGAATCAATCGTTGCTCACCGACTACCGTGGGACTGCATCTCCTCACGATGCTCCACTGTCTTGTGGATCAAACCTTTAGGTCAAAGGCTCCGGGAGTGGTCTCCTAAGAAAACCACCTGCTTCAGTTTGGGCACTTGGGCAATATCACAGCCCTCACACAAATCAAATGAGATTTGTGTAGCGCATATATATCTGGTGTCCCCTTGTACCAATATTTATGTGGTTAAATTAATAATAAATAACATTTAAAATCATTGTTTTTATTTAATTGGTTTAAACCAATAAGGAAGTCTTTTTTTTCTCTTCTAATAAACACCAGTTTCTTGCCACAAATACAATGAAAACAAAGCTTATAAGCAATTTTTCTGTGTGCGTGTGTGAGATCCATGTTTTGTTGAAATTCACTTCATCCAAGTGTAAATAAGTCGTTATAGATGAACAACCAAGAACAATGTCAGTGACATCGTGTAAATTTTTTACCAAATATACCAAAATGAAATAAAATAATCAAACAGAAATAAGCTTAGATAAAATACAAAACTAATTGAAATAAGAGCTGAAAAAAAATACACAAGGCTGGAATAAAATACTAAGACCCTTTTTTGATTCATTGGAAGGCGATAGAGTCGTATTGTAGTTGGTCTTGTCTTTCATATTTGACGCCAGTACAAATCTTTATATACACATTGAATGTAAACATTAATCAATAAAAAAAGTAGTATGTTATACAGACTGTCAAACATTAAACTGGTCTTAAAATGCATCTGACCATCATCAATGTAATATATTATAAAATATATAAGTAAAGAAAACTGTAATGATGACATTGAGAGAACAAAAAAGAAGGGGATATATATATGCGCGACTAGCGAAATGGTTGCAACAATTAATTAATAATGAAAAGAAAGTAATTCATCAACCAGAAGAATAATGAAACACAATACCCAAGAATGTTTTACTCAATAGAGGAAATAAGCTTTAGATGGAACGATGACAAATAATGTTACTATCAGCATTATTATTATTATTACTCTGATCAATAGTTAGTATCCTTGAATTGAATTTTTTTTTCTATTTAAGCAAATGTTATAAGTGGTACATTAATTTGTCGTTTTGGTGATGTTGTCTCTTGTTGTGATGATGTATCTGAAGTCGATGATGAGAACTTGTTATGAATGCTGTCATTATTATCTAACTGAATAGTACTAATAGATGTTGGATTTGTACAATTTTCTACTGAACCTACTACTTGTTCATTTGATTCAACATTTACTAAAGATACAATACTACTGTTATTGTTATCATTATTATTGTCAGCAACATCGCTGGTCATTGAAGTTGATGGTGTTGAACTGCAGCATATATTAGTGTGACAATCAGTTACTATTGTCGATAGTTTCTCAGTAGTAGGTTGGGTGGATAAAATCAGTTGATCTGTAGTGTTACACTGTTGATCTAAAGCTAAATTACTTTGAGAAGTTGAAATGTTTCTGTTTAAATCATGATTATTATTAAAATTAATATTACTGATATTGTCGTTATTGTCAATTAATGATAATGATGATAAACATGGTAGTAGTCTTGTTGATTCTATCGGTGATGATGGTGTTGATGCTGATGATAATCCCAGTTCAAGAAATCGTTCACGTTTAAATACACTTAGCGTACCTTTAGCTTTATTTTCGTTAACACTAAGTAAAGAAAAGATAGTAAAAAGGGGATTTATCTTAGTTTATAATTACTTAATTTCAAACAAACATTGTTATTAACCAAACAACCAACATCTAGTAACTGAAAACTGTTGATACTATGCGGATAATCAGTCATTCATTAAGAATTATATGCTTTCAGTTAGTCTGTCGTACATAGTCAACATAGGGCCTGGTATAAATGTGCATTAGCTCGAGGTACCGTACCACATGAAAAGATGAATTTTAAAAAAGTCGACATCATTTTAGCAAATGTAACGCAAAAGTATGTATAAAGGACCTGTAGAAGATTCAGACGTGGGTGAATTGTGGATACATCTACCGTCATTGTGACAGATTACAAGTTATGTCACCCAAGACCTTCAACTATTGCGCTTTCATATATATACTGGTTGACAATCCAAAACGGTGTAGCTAACTGACAATCCAATATCCTGGCCAATGTTGTCAAGGACACGAAGGTATGCACTCACTGCTCCCATATGTCAAAAGCACAAAATGAATAACCCTGGGGTTACGTATATGATGTTAACTATATAGAGTGAATCAGTTATTAGGTTTGAAACTTCGACTAAGTATTACATCAGAACAGACAAGAGTGGTCAAAGTAAAACATACCATTGGTTCATACAGTCACTGGACTGACGAGTGTCGGAAAGTTTGAATCTCTTGGCTTACGTAAGACAACCAGCTTCCATGTTTAAAGATGAATGTAGGAGGTTCTATGTTGGTGAAAGTGACTAATTGAGACAATTCAGTTATTTACATTCTCATCAATTAATTTCCTATTACTCAATTATCAATTTGATTTGTTGTAATAGGAATGGATTTGCAAAAATCAACACTAAATTCGACTTACCAATCATAGATAATTCCATCTACACCCAATTGTGCGAGTAATATACGTTTTTCTGGTATGTTTACAGCTTCACCCCATGCTAATACAACTAATTTGTGTGAATGTGCTAATTCAATAATTCCTGGAACTTTTAATAAACGATCACTTTCTAAACATACTCCCTGTTATTTATGATTAACAGTGTGAAAAGATGGAAAAACAAAAACCCCAATGTTATTTGAAATGCTTTATTTAGATATTATGAATATATTTATAATCAAAAAAGGTAACTTTACCAAGGTTTTGAAAGGCGAATGCTACTGTGCTAGTTTGCACATGTGGGTCAGAACTGCAGTCTGTAGTCAGTTAGGTGAATTTCGATGTTTGCACTTCAACAAACTCACCGTTTTTATGATTCATCATAATCGAATTTGTTTTAAAAAAAAATGGCTATCCGCAGATAATAAGAGTTCTAACTTAAGCTCAAATAAGGGTTTTTTTCATGTTAAAATTACAATATGTCGGACTAATTATTTTGGAATTATGGGATTAAAACGACTTCTAACTGATGTTGAAGCACTAAACCTACGGAAATCGAGGATTCGTATGTGAAAACGTACATGGATGAAAGGTCAAGATTACTGTTTATACTCTTACTACTTCTACCACTATGGGATTTGAATCGAAAACTGCATCTCTGTACTAATGTGGTATGGCAACTCGTACTGATGTACGTACATACGAAGTTCTACGTCGTGACTGACTGACTTATGATGTAACCAATAACTTTATAAACACACATGCATAGGTCAAATAAGTTAACATAGCGGTTTGTATCGATCCGTCATATAAATTCAAGATGGGATTGTAAATATGATTAAGTGCTTATTATGTTCCAAGTGTGTGTGAGGTTGCTAAACCACTCGCAAAATAACTGCTGCAGCTTCACGGGCTATTGTTGGAGATAAAAATATTTGGTGTCATTCATTTTCCTCTGATACACTCAGTCAGTCAGCTACAACGTAGGACCAGGCACACATATGCATCGGTCCAAGTTGCCATACCTCGTTAGCACAACAAGAGGAACACCGAATTCATAGAAATAGTTTATTTAGTGGTGGTAGTATATAAAAGATAGGTTGTTTATAATGATATAGTATAAGAAAGAAGAACGCTATGAAGCAATTTTAATCTCAAGGTTTAAGGGAAGATAAAGTGGGTATACACCTACGCCATTGTGGTCGATTCTGAGCCATGTCACCCAGAGTCTCCAACCATTGGTTACGATAGTCATGCGGACCCCAACCAGGTAGTCTGCATCTGCCAACATGACTCAGACTAGAAGTTAGTGACTTCAAGTACTGATGCCACGTTTTGGTTTGGCCGCCCCTAACTCTTTTCCAACCATCCCCTGATACACTGATGAAGATAATTGTTGTTAGTCTACATAGATTTTTCTATATCTCATCCCACTGACTCCATTAATACAATTCACACAGTAAAGTGTTAATGTTTAAGGAATAGTGGGATTAGAATTGTTTTGAACAGATGACTTGTTTTTAGTCCTCTGAGATTATGCAATGTGCACAACGATATCAAGTCATTAAACTAGACTTGTTCAACAACGACAGAACAACATGACATATTGGTTATCTATCACTGAGTCATTTAGCGTAATTTGCTTACTTCTTTATATCTTTGAGATGTATGATAACATGAATAGTTTTGCAAATTAACCGTCTTGAAACTGTACCGTTACAAGTTTATCTACTTATAACTTAGTATTATTATCAGTAGTATTATTATCTGTTCAACAAAATATTACCGGTAGGAATGAAATATTTTGATGAAAACGTATTATCATTACATGATCAAATAAATACCTTACCAAGAGTTGATGACTTAATGCAGACCAAAATAAACTTTGAAAGTCAGCATGTCGTGTATCTGCATATTCTGGGGATATTCCAAGTTGAAAGACTGGATAAATTTGTTGCTTTAACTGAAGCCTAGAGTAAGGAAGACCAAAAATGAATAGTTCTCATATAACAAAAACTAACATTATATGTTCATTAAATGAATAACACCTAATTATTATGCATTAAGCTAAAAAATTAACCGATAAGGGACAAAGTGAAAAAAGTTACATAACTTACATTACACAGACATTTGGATCAAAACATGATAATAGAATACGTCTTTTACCAGCATGTGTTAAGATTTCACGTAGAATAGTATCAACATAAAAATTGTACTCGAAGAAATGATCCATTTCTGAGCTACCATCCTATATACACAGAAAAAATAAGCAATAAAGATGAAGAATCCTTAAGTTACTGATATGATTAAATAATAGCCAAGTGTGATTCGAATGGATCCTAATTTAACTATACCCGCTTTATTTGAATAGTTAGATGGTTATCGCTTAGTGGTTAGGGTGTTCGATTTCTAACCAATAAGTTCTCAATTTGAGCTCCGCCTCATCTACTTCGGTTTGGACAATTGAGTTGTATCATTAGCCGTAATACTAAGAGTGTGACTCACACCAAAGTACCTGGTGGATGAGTTAATTAAACTTAAAAACAACCTTCATTAGGCGAATTTGGTCCACATAACTATTTAAGTGTAGCTACTATTATAGTGACCGAACACTCAGGAAGGTATAACCAATTCATATAGCAAAATTACAGAGTTCTTTGGTAAATTGTGAAAAACCTATTGACAGGCATTCAACTTCGGATTGGCGTTACATACTACTTATGTCTGTCGACATGAGCAGTTTACGCCACACTATTACCTGCTGTAAAAGATAACCAGTTAGGTAGGCACGTTATTTAATAGTGCAAAACCAATCAAAAGCAAAATATATTTTATACAGACTTCATTCTTTTTAGTGTCTATCATCTAGGTATTTATCAGACCTAATGGGGACTGATATTTCCTCTCATCTGTTCTACAATCCGAATCAGCAACATAAACTATGACCATAATAAAAATCCATATGTATAACATTGGATACTTCCCAATGACGTATTGTTGCATTCGATTCAGCTATAAAACAATTCGTAACTCAAGTAGAGGGTTACGTTCACATTTATGGAAAACTATCAATACCTTTAAAAAGATTAGTAGTGTAGCGTGGTCTACTTATATCCATATAAGTAGTATATGGTGATAGTCAGACATAGAATTTATTTTGGCAGAAGACCGATAAGGAAAGAGCTGAAATGAAGTGCAATTGGTAGGAAAATATATGAACAATGAAATCAGAGAAGATGAACTGATATTTACAGAGGGAATAGTGAAGATTGAGACTATTGATTGGTAGTTTGCATATTAACTGTTTGCTGTACGGTTATCAGAATTTAGTGAGATAGTTTGTAATTTGTGCCTAAGTACATTCTGTTATGTCTCGATCAAGGTCTTCGCCAATATGTTATCACCTTACAAGATAAACCAAGGACGTATGACAATTCGTTATCGATTTTATGTCCGGCTTCTATCAGGAATGGAAATACAACTTTTCCGACTCTAACACTGTGACAATCAATGACGTTCGACCAGTATGAGTCGTCTAGCGTCCTGATTGGCCCATTGACCGCCCAGCCTTTCCAATTGATTCCAGAACACAAATTGCAGCTCCTGTTATACGAATCTATGGGGATCATTTATTTCAAGCATACTCGGTTTATATACCAGACAGACCACATCACACTTTAAATAGAAAATAATATTTGTACAAGATCAAGCCAAATGTGGCTGTGAATATGGGAGACAGTAATCAATAAACTGAGTATGATTTAGGGGCAGTAAATCGTATAATAATAATCAATAGGTCAAAATGAATCATATAATAAGATGAATATAGATAGATGCAATCTAATCGCTGAATAGTTATATAATAGAAACATAAATAAAATAATGATCGATTACTAGATCCCGGAAGTTGCCCGTACTTATATCTTCACTAGGGTATAACACATTCGACTGTCCCCACCAGTATTCTTGGTAACTACAGTAGTAGTAGTAGTAGCAGACATACAAAAGCTGCTAACGAATGTTGATAAATCTAGAGCCTAAATGCAAGTATTTCCTGTTAATAACTCAGTTATCGTTATTTAACACTACAAATTGCTTCAACATTAATAGGTTACATGTAAAAAAGGAACTAAGTAGTCTAATGATTTTTTTCTTATCACCTGAAATGAGTCATTAGTTGTCATAGTTACATGAAACTGTTTGCAACATGATAAAAATTTACAGAATAAGTGAATGTTCATTAGAAGAGTATAAACTTTTTGAATAGATTAGGATAACATATACATATGAGCGAATATTGTTTTCAATTAAATCATAATCATTTAGTATTGTTTGTTTGAATCTTCCCATTGATGTGTTGGGACTGCAACTGGTCAGTCGCACAAGCAAGTAACTATGAGGACTCATTGGTCGAGTGGATAACGTTATGGCGTTTGAAGCGAACGGTACTGGGTTGCAGTTCCACAGTGAACATCAATTCCGAGATGCAGCTACATCCAGCTGACGAGTCCCGAATAGGACGAACTGGATTCCAATGCTAGCCACTGTCCATCTTTGCTTAAATCATAACCAGTTTTTTACTATAATATGTACAGAGATATTAATATTTAATAATTGACAATAATACCGTTGGATGCCGGCCAGCTCAGTGGTCTACAAGTTAAACGTTCGCGTGAGAGACTGACAGGTCTTGGGTTCAAACTTCGCGAGGTGGGAACGTGGATGCGCACTACTGAGGGGTCTCACACTAGGATGAAACGGCTGTGCAGTGCTTTCAGGTTTTCTATAGTGGTCTAACTTCAACTAACTCATGAATTAAATTACTATAACCTCCACCAAACCCCTCTCTGATTAAAATATTAATACGTATATATGGAAAAAAACACTAAACTAATTAAACCAGTCTATGAATCAATGATAACAATGAAAAAGGCTTGCCTAACTAGTCATAATAAGTAGAAAGTACACATTGTGATAGTAGAGATGACATGTATAATAATAAATATTGTAATAACATAAACAAATATTTGAATATAAAAAAAAGGCTTAGAGCTTGATAAAAACCAAATTTCAAAATCTTTTATTAAATATAATGATCATAAATTTGATTGAAATTAGACATGAACACCGTTGGATGCTCTAGCTAAGTGATCTTTAAGGTTAAGGTAGTGAATGGGAACTGGTGAAGAATTCCACTTTACGATGAAACGGCTGTTCAATACCTCCAAATTTTTAATGATGATCTAGCTAAAATCATTTTGTAACTAAAATCTATGAAGATTCTTTAAACTATCCAAATCCACCTATATATTAAAATAATAATAATAATCAACAATCAAGTAATAGAAAAATGTTTGACCTAAGTAAAAGAAAAATTCAGACTAGACAGTATGACTGGATTTACTGATTGGTCGTTTATCATTAACTATAAAACTCTACGAGTAAATAGTATCAAACATTATTTGAATGCCAAATTTTTCGGTAACACCATTTTCAATCCAAGATTATAGTAGTGTAGGTATTCTTTAGAAAAGTTAATATGGAGACCTACACAAATTTCTGAGCTATCAGTTGTCCAAAGATGCATTCTTTTACCCAAAAAATTTCATGTTTTAGATTTGTAATTATTGATTGATGACGTCAGCTAACGTATGGGTTCTATCAAATATTTACAATTAATCACAAGTCTTACTTACACCTGTTACCTCTTGTGGAGGAGCATAGGCCGCCCATCAGCATCCTTCATCCAACTCTGTCCTGAGCCTTTCTTTCCAGTTCTTTCCAGTTGCTATTCATTCTTTTCATATCTGCTTTTATTTCCCGACGTAATATGTTCTTTGGCCTTCCTCTTTTCCGCTTCCCTTCACCATTCCAAGTTAGGGATTGTCTTGTAATGCACATTGGTGAATACCTTAATCTATGTCCTATCCACTTCCAACGTCTTTTAATAATTTCCTCTTCATCTGGAATCTGGTTTGTCCTCTTCCATAAAACGCTGTTGCTGGTAGTATCTGGCCAATGGATGTTGAGTATTTTGCGTAAACGACTGTTTATAAATACTTGCACCTTCTTGATGATGGATGTAGTAGTTCTCCACGTTTCACCTCCGTACAGTAGGACTGACTGTCTTGAGGTTCGTATTGAAGATTCTAACTTTGAAGTTAGTTGACAGTTGTTTTGAGTCCCATATGTTCTTCAATTGTAGAAATGCTGTCCTTGATTTGCCAATCCTCGCCTTTAAATGTGCATCAGATCCTTCTTGTTTATCAACGATGCTTCCCAGGCACGTGAATGTTTCCACCTCTTCCAGAATTTCGCCATCAAGTGTGATTGGATTGGTAATCTCTGTGTTGTATTTTAGAATCTTGCTTTTTCCTTTGTGTATGTTGAGGCCTATCGATGCGGAGGCTGCTGCTACATTTGCTGTCTTCATCTGCATTTGTTCATGTGTATGAGATAGGAGGGCTAGGTCATCTGCGAAGTCCAAATCATCTAATTGATTCTGAGAAGTCCATTGTATTCCGTATTTCCCGTCAGATGTCGAATTCTTCATAATCCAGTCAATCACCAGAAGGAAGGGGAATGAAGAGAGTAGACAGCCTTGTCTGACTCCGGTCCTTACTGGAAATGCATCTGTCAGCTGTCCTCCATGCATGAATTTGCAATGTAGTCCATTGTATGAGTTTTGGATAATGTTGACAATCTTTTCAGGAAATCCATAGTGTCGAAGAAGTTTCCATAATGTTCTCCTATCCACACTGTCAAATGCCTTGTCATAGTCAATAAAGTTGATGTATAGTGATGAGTTCCACTCAATTGATTGTTCAACGATGACCCGTAGTGTCGCAATCTGGTCTGTGCACAACCGATGAAATCACAAACCTAATTATTGGGAAATTCAAATGGTACCATTATGGTGGTTTGGATATTTCCCTTTTCCATTATGTTTCTAAAAAAATGAGAACCGATTTCTTCAGAAATTCACATATCAGATATATTCACTAATGGAAAGTGATGTCATAGGAGCAAACATTTATGAATGAATATGAATAGCTGAGAATTCTTTACTATAGTTAGATATCTGATAATAGATAGAGTGAGTATTATGACAATCATTATCAATGTTGATATCCAAAGGATGAGTTAATATTTGTGACAACTGAACTTTCGAGGTACAAGAGAAAAGTTGATTCACACAACAAACTTGACAAATTATTGACTAAAATAACTTTCAGAATTGACAAGTGAAATGGTATATTTACATCGTGATATTTTAATGATAAACAGGTTGAGAAATAAGATTGTTTTGTTACAAGTTGATATGAATATATCTGTCAATTTACAGAAAGTTTATAATATGCCACAAAAATAAACTTCAAAAGCCCTGGTAAGGCCAAGAGCGGGGAGAGTCAGCTCTCTCTCTCCAAATGCTCTCACGCAGCCACACGTATACAATCACTGCGAGAGAACTCCTACTCACTGCTTTCTCACGAAATTGAGAGGACGAAAAGTGAATGTCCGACGGTTTAACTGGGTTGGTGGGTATAGATGATCCACCTAGGGGAGTTAGAAAACCCTGATTTTAAACCAATGGTGCACATGGGCTAAAGAATCATGAGGGAGTAAATAGCGTATAAACCTTTTGTTGGTCACCGATTACCATGGGACAGCATCTCCATACGTTGTTCCATTGCCTTGTGGATTAGACCTTTTAGTCAAAGGCTCGTGGCGTGGCTTACAATGAAAACCACCTGCTTCGGTTTTTGGCGCCTGTGGAATATCCCAGTCCTCACAAAAATTGGATGACAAAGAGTGGTGCATATATATTTGGTGCTTCCTTGTACCCATGTTTATGTGTTTAAATAAAAAGCACTACAAAATATTGCTTTCTGTGATGTAATAAATAATTTATGTTAAATTGTAAACAACATTGGCTAATTATAAATTAATGTAAAATTTAAAGACAATAAATCGGTGGAAATCTTTGACATCTCATAACTTTGAGATTTTAAAGCATTAAACAGTATCTTTCGTGAATGGATCCAGGATAATAAGACTAATACAATTATGTAAATATTGAACTATCTTAATCAAGTAGAACCATATTTCTACATGAAATAAAAGCTGATGATGTTGTTTAAAACGACAATAAAAGCACCACATTTAAATTATCTAGCTTTACGAACTCAACATCTACCGAAAGGATTCACTGAAGCTGTAAATCCTCTTCATTTGACTTTAAACACATTTAGTTTAACGTTAAAACACTGAATTGTTTGACTGATAAAATCTGTTTAGCATATTATTAACTGAACAGAATAAGTAAAATTGGATACTCCTAACAGAATGGTATACTGATTATAGTGAAATATAATAACCTTAATTCATTCAACTATATTAATATACTCAAATGAACATGCAAGAATTCTAACCAAAGATGGATAGTGGCTAGCAGTGGAATCCAGTTTGACGCGCGTTCCGTCCTATTTGCGACTCGTCAGCTGGATGTACCTGCATCTCGGAGTTGATGTTCAGTCTGGGACTCGAAACTAGTACCTTTCGTTTTAAACAATACCAAGTGAATGCAAGAATTCTACTACTTCTAAATGCAGTAAACATTTGATTTGTCCATCAGTGGTATTTCAATAACAAAAAATATAACAACACGGAATATTATGACTTCAAAAAGAAAAATCGGCGAGACTATCATTTATGGGCGAGCCAATCAGAAGCGTTTGAAGGATTTCAAGGTCACGGCGCCAATTTCAGTACCTGATGTTCATGTACGATCGGTTTACGGAGAACTTTAGAGAATACTTGATAATTAAGCGGCTACAACAAATGAGAATATTAAGAAGTTCCTGTATAAGTAATTGCGATAATTAAATGACTTGTAGACCTTGTGCAGACTACCGTGATGTTGCCCTTCGATGTAATATATGTTGAAGGAAGACGTTTGCTAGAGTAGGAACGTTTATCACTCGATCCAGATTGAGACTAAGACAATATTATAATAATTTCCGCCAACTGTATAATAAAAGCGCCAGTAACATTGGCTGCAATAGTCGCAGATGTTACTGAAGCGTCGGCTGTGCAGTGGTATGAATATTGTAGGGACATATCCATGATAAAAGTGATAAAATTATACAGCCGGAGTACACACAAACAATAACGAAGATATGTGGTCGAGGCTGAGAGGGTTCTTATGACCTTATCATGGCTCCAGAGACCGTCTATTATGGAGCCGTATGGATGAGTTCTTCTACCTTATGCATTACGGTTTCGGGACCTTTGAACCTTTTTCTAACCTTGATAAGTTTTTGGACCATATAAAATAAGTGTATTCACTTTAATTATTTAGTTTTGTATAATATATTTTTACTCTATACTGGCTGATCACTGATTGGCTAATATTTTCAAGGTCACATAAGATTCGTTCAAAGATCGTCTCGCCGAAAAATCTTATCATTATGAAAAAGAAAAGAGGAATTAATCTTTAATGGAATAAATTACTTTAAGTTCCATTGGATATTTCACTTCAATAACAAAACCAAGATCTGGATCAATTTCTTCAAAACATGAATGTAATAAAGGAAATGGTTGTAATTCTACTGGATCTAAATCTTCTTCATTCATTTCTATGATAAAACAAAGAAGGAGAGAGAAAAAGAAAAAGAAAACAGAACATCATTGAACAAAACAAATCAGCGGATCCATTTCATTTTTAAGTTCATTTGTCATTGACTTATAATTATTTAAGCTGACCTAGTAATAAATAAATTAAAAGTAGAAGAAAAAATACAATGAGAAGTAACCGTGGATGTTTCTTTTAGGTGGGATAATATTAATAGTAATCATTTGATTGGGACTTTATGTAAATAATTGATTCTTTAAACAACAATAAAGCAAATACTATTCATTAGATTACAACAGAATAATTTTTCAGAACAATAAAAAGGTATAAAATTATGTAAAGTAACTATGTATCTTCAATAGTAATATGTTTAGATTCTGAAAGTATAGTATACAAAGTAAGAGTTCTTTGTTCAATCTTTAATGACATGTTTAGAAGGAATAGTAGGAATTAGGAAGGAGATTGATTATGTATACAGTGATCTTGAGTGTTGTTAGAAGTAACCAATGATTGGAGACTCTGGATAACATGGCTCAAAATCGATCACAATAGCGTAGGTGTATACACTCTTTATCTTTCCTTAAACCCTGCGATTAAAATTGCTTCATGTTAGCGGGACATAGATTGGATTAGAGCATGTTTCATGCATGATGGTGTTGCTGCATGCTGATTGACTAATTCTTATCCAATCAGCTTTAGTCGTTGCTTGGAGAGGACTCTAGAATATTCTCATGTAAAATCTATAAATATGCTAACGTATTTCTTAATGCGCTTCTTACTTCCATCTATCCTTGTTATTTGGAATGTAATTTCTTCCCTGTTCAACCGTGTTCTAATTTGGGGACTTGTCGAGTGTATTGGTGTCCAAGAATACTAAGCAATAGGAATAGCTGGGTCGTAATAAGGAATATATATATAAACAGTTATAACACTTCATATCTGTCATCTTTCCTATACTATATCCTTATATACAACCTTTCTTTTATTTATTACCACCACTAAATTAACTACTTCTATAAATTCGGTGTTCATCTTGTTGTGCTAACGGGGCATAGCAACTTGGACCTCCTGGTCCTACGTTGTAGCTGACTGACTGACAATGACACATTTAATTAATATTTTACATTAGTAAGTGATAAGCATATATATATATATATATATATATATATATATATATATATATGCCTGGGATGAATGTTCATCAGTCTATGTTGTTCTACATAGCACTAAAACAGGGAAAAGGGAAGATAACAAAACGGGAAACAAAGAAAGGGGATGTATTTTAACAGGAATTGAGGCACAAGTATTGCACTTGGAGATAAGCGATTGCCAAGTATCTGCAACATATATTCTGAACACTTCAGTAACGGAATAATTATAAGTTGACCAATCGACAAGCCATTTTTTGCTAGTGCCCTAAGACTGATTTCAACGTTACTCAGTGAATTCATCAGATGCGAGGAATTCTTCAGAGGTGAATATGTTGCGGATGTTAGATTCCCAGAAATCATTTGGTAAATGCCTTATTTTTGTAATCCTATTTTAAAAATTTGACTTTCGTGTTTTCGTGCCAAAAGCGCTCATTTTCACCTTCATGTCGTATTTCTCACTTAGGAAGATGTTAAACGCTGATGGTTTGTTGGATCTTTCAATGTAATATTTTGTAACGATTTGTATCCTGTGTATATACACTTGATTTGTGCTTGTGGTTGTTTTTCCTGTTTCTGGATGCTTGTGAAATATATTTTCATCTTCGAAGTGGGAATTTTCTCTCTAGTTAGAGGGACTGGGACGCATCGGAATAGCTAGCTTATCTGTTATTGTATCACAGAGTCTTCGTTTCATTTTCAGATCAGATGGACTCGTAATCTCTTTAAATACAGCAGGATATGATCAAATATTTGAAACCTATACACATGTTCTACTATGTTTTACAGTCTTAAAAGAATGTAGAACGAACTGTCGTGTAGGTTATTCGGCCCTTGACTGGTATTGATATATATATATATATATATATCTTTCAGCTTTGTAACATCCCCTCCCCAATTATCACGTAACCTTATTTAATATTTGGAGTCTCAATTCACTCTATGATGTAATCTATTCTATCGTACTACAGATATATATATGGTGGCGAATTGATATATTAAGCTTATATACCATATTATAGCTTCAGGACAAGTCAATTTGCCTATCCATCATGAGTCATGTTCTCACTTTATTAATTATTTAATTATTAACCCTGACCATTTCTATATGAGCGTAGGTGTGTGTACCCATCTTATCCTATTTATCACAAGTCTGTCATTTGTTCTTGTCTGACTATAAATATTGATTAATGCTTGATTAAAGTGAGTTAGCTTATCCGCCATCACCCGATGCATGTCATTTTTATTTCGGTCGCTGATATTTACTCATGTGCTTATAACTTTCTAGCCTGTGTTATTTGTCAATAAAACTGAAGCTGCCGCTTCTCTTTGCTTTCTGATATTAGTATGATAACGGTTATCGAGGTGAGTGATTAACAAAGCACGGCACGACATATATATTTATCATGTAAGTATAAATACATATGTACAGATTAATTAAATAATTTCGTCTAAAAGAAAATTTTCTTCGTCAAATTCTCCTTATTTTTTTAAATTTTTTTTTAAATAAATAATTACAGAAAACCAATCGCCAATTTTTTTTTAAATAGTTGAGATCATGAAGCAACCGTTAGATGCCGGCAAGCTCAGTGGTCTAGTGGTTAAGCGTTCGCGCGCAAAACTGATAGGTCGTGAGTTCGATTCTCGTAAGGCGGGATCATGGATACGCACTGCTAAGGAGTCTCACAATAGGATAAAACGGCCGTCAAGTGCTTTCAGGTTTTCCATGGTAGTCTAGCTTCAATGGATTCATGATCTCAACTATATGAAATCACTAAAATCTCCACAAACCCCCCCCCTTTTTGATAATTATCTTTTTCTTTAAAAAAAAAACAAATACAAACTAGTAACAATGCTGACTTACTTTCATGAGTATGACTTTCTTTTAATACACTTGAATGACGAACATTTAATTCACGTAGTTCATTATAATTTAAATCTTTAGTAGCTACTCGTAGATAACATAATTGACCACCTCGTTTCTAAATCAAAATATAAAATAGAATAATTGTTAATATAAATAGAAATTATAAAACTAATATGTTGAATGAAGAATATACTTTTCGATGAGAAATTCTCTCTTCAGGTTCTACAAGTCGTATATATCCAAATGAATAATCCGAAAGATTCGCCTGGTTAAAGGCGAAGTACATCGTTTATAGTATGTAAATTTAGGATTATAGATCAGAAGGGGCTTTTGTGGATATTTCAGTATTTTCATAGTGGAAATCATTAGTCACCGTTGGATGCCGGCTCAGCGGTCTATCGGTTAAGTGCTCCGGCGCGAAACTTATAGGTCCTGGGTTCGAATATCGCGGGTGCGAGATCGTGGATGCGCACTGCTGAGGAGTCCCATAATAGGGTAATCAAAGATTAAATATCTTATTTACAAGTCATTATGATTAGCTTAAAAATGATTACATAACAAATGCATAATTGTGAATAAAGCGTTCAGTATAAACAATATTGTGTATTGTAATGATGAGGATTTACAGTTTAAGAGGATGATTTTGATAGAATTACATTGTTTAATAGTACAATAGTTTAATCCGACAGTTCACGTTATCTTTCCTAAAAATATTGTCAGTACAAAACTATAAAGAGAAATGAACTATTTCAAATTTCTTGTCTCCCAAAACAGAAAATTTACGAGGACACTCAAAAAAAGTTCACAAGCCCAGAACGAATTACATGTCAGCTGACTTCCGACTTTCCTATCGAATCATCAAAGAATGGAATTCATTACCTCAGTACGTGGTTCAGGCTACATCCGTCGACTATTTCAAAAGAACGCTGAATGAGCGGAGACCAACATTGCCAGGACTAACATAGGCCATCAAGCCTCCTGTCTTTTCCAAACTGAAACTGAAAGTAATAGTTTATTATGTTAATATAAACTCTGATTGAATCCTATCAATTCATAACTCCGCCTGTAACTCTTCTAGAGTTACTGCCGGTCCCAATTCCAGACAAGGAGGAGGGTTGTGCATGGGGTTAGCGATCCACTCACATAGAAAAACTTACTTGATAACAAGAATGCTAACCAGAAAAAAAAGAAGTATCAATGCATATTTTGACATTGTCTATATATTTATTTTTATAATCTTATTATTTGACCTGATTTTCAATTTTATCAATCAGCTGATAAAGTTAAAAATTGACTTCGATATATTTATTGATTATTAATTGGCTTATGTAACGAGTTTTTATCAGTGTGCTTCAATTCTCCTTTGTATTCCCTTTCAGTCCAACTATTCATGGATTCATTGGATTTGGACATAAATACCATGTGGTTCCGGCTCAGTGGTCTATCGGTTAAGTGTTCGCGCGCAAAGCTGGTAGGTCCTGAGTTCGAATCTCGTGAGGCGAAGTCGTGGATTCGCACTGCTTAGTGGTCCTACAATAGGACGAAACGGACTTCCAGTGTTTCCCTGGTGGTCTAGCTTCAACTGACTAACGCTTTCAACTATGAAAATACTGAAATCTCCACACAAACCCCCTTCTGATAATAACTATTCAAATGTTACCATCACTCATATCAATACATAGATACAATGATGAAAATACATTCAAATAGTAAATTGTGTAACTTTGATGTTTCTATGATATAAACCCTTAAATTTTTTTTCACCATTTGATATTTGTTAATACAATCATTGTTCGAAATACCTAATACAATGACATTTAGATAAAACATTTTTCATATGAATAAAACTTCTATAGTTTATTAAGATATTCAACCCTGGAGTTGAAAGTGTTTTGTATATACACATATAGTTAATTAATAATAAAGAAATTTCCACACTATAATCGATATTATGGAATTTTTGGCGCTTAATATCTATGGACGTATAATTTTTAAAACCTCAGTTACTTTACATTGAAATGACTGTCTGTTTCTTAGATATCTATGATAAATTAGTTGAGGTTTATGGAGAGGGGTTGGTTGGAAGGAGTCTGTTAAGAACTTCGGTTATACTCGAATAAAATTTCAAAATTCTCCATAGACGTTTATTTATTCAATCTTAAAAATAGATTTAAACATATCTAGGAATTATGTACACATACTGTATCCAGTGAATAAGGGAATATTTTTAGTAGAAATAAAGAATGTGACAGCAAATTTATAAAGTGTGTCAGCAGTTTATGAAGAATAAGGCAGTGATATAAATAGATGTTTTCGAGTGGATCATATGTTGTTGAGCTTGGGTTGTAAAGACTCCTACCAATGATGATTGTTTTGACAAAAGGATTGAATGTATACTATCTGTCTTATGATATCTAATGACTGATTCATTGTCGGAATAATTGTTAATTAGATGAATTTCAAACTCCGCCTGTAGATCCTCCAGGGGCTACTGCCGGTCCCAAGCCCACACAAAGGAGGAGGGTTGGGCATGGGGTTAGTGACCCCATCCCGTAGAAAATCAACTCGCTAAAAAAACGCTAACCAGAAAAAATCATTCAAACCATTCAAACTCTGTCCTGGGAGTAGAAGGAATAATGACGTCTCATGATGAAAGCCGAGTTCCTTCGGAAGTCATGAGGCCGATGCACCTTCTTACAACCAGAGCGACAATGTTTATAGGTACATGGAATGTCCGGACAATGTGGGAGAGAGGAAGAGTCTTCCAAACTGCTGCGGAAATGAGGAAATACAACCTGGAAGTGCTTGGAATCGATGAAACACATTGGACGCAGGTTGGATGTTATGACGTATGAAATCGTAATAATATGGACGTGCAATTGGAGAGGAATGAATTTATTGATCGGAGGCAAATGATACTTGAAGTTGTACGAGCAGTCTTGATTGCGTATCGGCCCTGCTATCTGCCTAGCCCAGCCAGTTGAGTCCAGAACACAAAATAACAGCCTCGGTAATATGAATCATTATTTACAAGCATACTGGGTTATATATACTAACCAAACAGACCACATATATTAAAAATAGAAAATAACATTTGTACAGTAATTGGCCAATGTGGCTGTAGCTAGGGGGAAGTAATCAATAATAATAGTTCCAAGGTCAAAATAAGGGTTATGATAAGAGGAACACGGAAACGATTAGGTCACTTATTTAACAACTATCCAATAGGGAATAGGCATATTATATTTGTCCATAAATAGACCTCAGATATAGGTCACTTACTTAACAACTATCCAATAGGAATAGGCGTATTACATTTGTCCATAAATGGACCTCAGATTTATGATTCATAATTCGACAGGGGATACAACGTTGGACAACAACGACTAGCTTCAGGGGAACTTCTGTTATACTCCGGTCATGAAGAAGAAAATGCCCCACATACACAAGGAGTGGCACTGATGCTGTCTAGAAAAGCACAAAATGCACTTATAGGATGGGAATTTCATGGACCGAGGATCATCAAAGCCTCCTTCAAAACAAAGAGAGAGGGCATTACAAAGAACGTCATCCAATGCTATGCGCTGACCAACGACTACGATGAAGACGCTAAAAACCAATTCTACGATAGGCTGCAGTCAATCTTCGAGCAGTGCCCAACCAAGGACCTGACCATTCTAATGGGAGATTTCAATGCCAAGGTTGGAAAGGACAACACTGGATACGAAGACGTCATGGGACAACATGAACTGGGAGGAAGGAACGAAAATGGTGAGAGATATGCAGACCTATGTGCCTTCAATAAACTGGTCATAGGTGGCACCATATTCCCACACAAAGACACACAAAGCCACTTGGATTTCACCGGATCACACTACACAAAATCAAATCGACCATATCTGCATCAACAAAAAGTTCAAGAGGACGATGGAGGATGTGAGAATCAGAAGAGGAGCTGATATAGCATCCAACCATCATTTGCTGGTCGCCAAGATGAAACTAAAACTCAAGAAGCACTGGACAATGACGCGGACAACATCACAAAAGTTTAATACGGCCTTTCTTCGAGATGCTGACAAACTGAACGAATTCAACATAGCCCTCAGCAACAGGTTCGAGGCCTTTCACGACCTACTCAATGGAGAGGGAACCACCATAGAGAGCAGCTGGAAAGGTATCAAGGAGGCAATCGTTTCAACATGTCAGGAGGTTCTGGGCCAAAAGAAGCACCATCACAAGGAATGGATCACTGTTGGTACACTGGATAAAATTGAAGAAAGGAGGAACAAGAAGGCAGCAATCAATATCAGCCGAACAAGAGCAGAAAAAGCCAAGGCACAAGCCGAATACACAGAGGCAAACAAGCAAGTGAAGAAGAGCATCAGGACCGACCGACGTAAATATGTGGAAGATTTAGCGATGACAACGGAAAACGCTGCAAGAGAGGGAAACATGAGACAACTGTATGATACAACAAAGAAACTTGCTGGAAATTACCGTCAACCAGAAAGACCAGTGAAAAACAAGGAAGGCAAAGTAATCAACGATATTGAAGAACAACGAAACAGGTGGGTAGAACACTTCAAAGAACTCTTGAATTGACCAGCTCCACTGAACGCACCCAACATCGAAGCAGCACCCACAGACCTCCCAATCGATATTGGCCCACGAACAATTGAAGAGATCAGCATGGCCATTAGATAAATCAAGAGTGGCAAAGCAGCGGGACCAGACAACATCCCGACAGAGGCACTGAAAGCAAATGTAGCAGCAACTGCCAAGATACTCCACATCCTCTTCAGTAAGATTTGGGACGAAGGACATGTACCAACAGACTGGAAAAAAGAACTTCTGATCAAGATACCAAAGAAAGGCGATCTGAGCAAGTGCGACAACTACAGAGGCATCACTCTCCTCTCAATACCAGGAAAAGTCTTCAACAGAGTATTGTTAAACAGGATGAAGGATTCCGTAGACGCCCAACATCGAGATCAACAAGCTGGATTTCGTAAGGATAGATCGTGTACAGACCAAATAGCAACTCCGCGGATCAGTGTGGAACAATCAATCGAATGGAATTCATTACACTACAACAACTTCATCGACTACGAGAAG